ATAACTTATGTGTGCAGCCTGTTCTTTTAATTAGCTCTGTACCGAGTAACTAAGCTTAGAGGGGGGTTAGAACTTGGCCCTCTGGTACACAGTTCAGTATTAGCGCCTCACTCTTATCCTCGCCCTGGGACGTGGAAGACTCTGAGAAAGCTTTAATAGCTGGGTGTGGAACAAGATGGTGCTCTTTGCTGCCGGTGGAAGCCAGGTCAGAGGGCTAAAGCCTCGCCTATCATCCCGCTCACACAGTCTGTGCAAGCCCTTCGTCTTTGAACTGAGCTCCTCTGGGCTCTGTTTTTATTTAGGAATCGTGGATGAGAATAGCACCTTATCGCATAAGGTTACAAAGATTAAGCAACAACGCAAGGGAAGTGTATATAGCACAGTATCTGGCTTCTAGAAAGCCCTTGATAAATGCCAGTTGTTATCCCTGTAAAATGGGGGGTAATGATACCTTGCTTATAGAAGTGCTGTGAGAATAAAAGGAACTAATCTAGGAAAACTTCCAGTTCAGGTCCCTGCACTCAGTAGGCACAAAATATCTGTTTTTACAAGTTAACCATTGATTCTGGAAGCTTTTCATTATTTTGAAAGTTGTAAGAAAGGCGTTAAATAACCCGTATTCAAATAGCAGTCTTTCCTTGGTGGCAGGTCGCTGTTGCAGGCTGTAGCTTTAGGCAGGAGATGGGTCCCTGGGAGGACACGTCCCAGGAGCCAGATTAGGGAGAGATCCTTGCTGCTCAGAACCCGGGCAGCTGCATGCTCGGACCGACTGGCTTCAGCATTCTGTGAAGGTGCTTATGGTGTGGGTGGGCTGTTTGTTTTTAATTTTGGGAATAGAAATTTACACAGAAATAGAAGAGCCACCAGCTTCAACAGTCATCAGTATTTTCCTAATCCGATAGCAGCTTTCTCCCAACCCAGACACACACACACACACACACACACACACACACACACACACTTTCTCTCCCTCTCTCTCCTCCTTGCTCCCTCTCTCGCTCCCTCTCTCTGCCTCTCTCCCTCCCTCCCTCTCCTGGAAGAAATTAAAGCACATCCTAGACATCATGTCATTTTGCTATTAAATACTTTCATATGCATTCAACTGATAAGCATCTTTTAAACAACGCCATTGCATTCTTAGCTGATTTCTTGATGAGAGCCAGCAGAACATAGCGGTAATCAGTAGTGGAATGCTTATTCCAAAAATGAGCATTTTTATGCAAAATATTAAATTTAGTCCAATTCAGCAAGTATGTTAATGCAGTTTATGCTCAAGGCACTGCATGCGAGCACAGACAAATGCATGAGGAGGTAGTTCTGACCCTGGGAAGAGTCCTATAGAAGGTCCATAATTCATGCATTCAAATAACCAGAGTTCAAAACAGTGTTCAAATAAAATCCTGACAGAGCAGGGAGCCCAGCAGGTGGTAGGGTCGCTGTGAACGTCACTGGAATAAGAAGCAGAAGTGCCATGTCCCAGGTGAGTGCAAATTGTCCGGGAAGCAGGAGAGCTCTCACCAAAGGGCTGCGAGCAGATGGCCCTCGAGGGAGGGCCCGGCCTCCCTGAACGTCTCTACAATCATAAAATAGCTTTAAGGGAAGATGTCTACACTCGCGCCAAAGCAAACGCGTGCTAAGAACCCACCACACTGCTGCCTGCCAGGCTGGTGGGTATTTCACGTGGCCTTTGAACAGCCTGTAAGTCACTGCAGCTGACAGCTTGTAAGTCCAGAATCCACTTGTTTTGTTTGTGTTTACATTGAGGCCCTCCTTGGGGGCCCAAGATTGCATTTTAATAGTGAGCAGGAGGCCAGCCAGTGCAGAGATGGGGCGCTGCGGCTATGCTGGAAATCCTGCAGCTATGCTCGTGCTGAAATGGCCCCGCACTTTTCTCTGCATTTGATACAAGCATTTAATCTGATCCATTTGGGGTAGGGTATGGAGGGGGATGGGGGTCTGCTCAGTCTTTCACGCGACACCTTCCTGAGCAGATGTCCAGGTGTGAGGCTGGGGGATGTCAGGAGTGGGTGCAGAAAGCCTGGAAGCAGAGAAGGTGAGCAGGGAACTGGGGCTTTGGGGGTGTCGTGGTGGGTGGTAGGGCTGCTCGAGGCTGAGCCTCCGCTGTGGGGCCTGCGGGCCCAGCTGGGAGTGTGTTCTTCACTCTGTGGGCAAGAGAAGCCGTGGGAGGTCTGTGGAGCAGCTGGGGCAGCCTGGAGGTGGCATGGAGGCTCCCTTTGTCTTGAGTGGAGGCAAAGAGGGCCAGGGTGAAGGGGGTAATCAAGAGCTTTTCGCTTCTGTTCACAAACACTTGTGGCGCACCTACTATGTGTCGGGCCACGGCGGGGAAATGGGAGACTCACGAAGGAGGTAGGAGGTGTGAGCGCTAGGTACCCTCAGAGTGGGGATGTGGAGGTAGGGCGACCAAGTGGGTGAGTGGGCGGCGGCAGAGAGCAGACGGGGCCGCGACTGGGAAGCCGGGAGGAGGCGCTGGCTGTGCTGGCTTAGGGTAGGGTTCTCCTGTGTGTGCGTGTCTGTCTGTCTGTCTCCACTGATGTGAAGAATCTTGAAAAACAACTTACAAATCTGTATGTGTTTGTGTATACTTGTGTGTACGCTCACACTCACACACACACTCACACACACACACTCACCAGGCACTCCTGTATATTTTAACTCTTCGTCCTTGGTAGCGCACCACTTACTGTGATTATATCCCATTTTATAAGGGAGTCATCAGAGAGGCCCACTCGGCAGCCCAAGGCCACACCGACCACAAACCACAAACCCACACCCAGTGGGGCCATGCTCTGACTTCTGGCCCTGCTGTCCGCCCGTCTGGCTGGCTCCCGGGGTCTTTGTGCAGTTAGTCCATCTAACTGCATGGAGTGGAATCAGGCCTAGACAAGGGGCAGGGCTGCCCCCGCTGCTGGAGGTCTCACGAGGCCACACATCCCGGGGGTCCCGACAGGCTGGCATGAGTGGGGCCCTGTGCGCAAAGCTGGTTCACGCCACATGGACTTGGTCGGCCTTGTCTGCCCCCAGCTGCTCTGCCCCAGCCCAGCAGGAGAACAGGGTCTGACACTTCGCACGTGGGTTAGTTTGGGGCCCACGTCTTCTGCAGCTCCTGGTAGACGTACGTTTCGGGGACTTTGCTTCCTTACTCAGTGTGTTAGTGCTGTGCCCGCCAGCAGGAAGCCCTCGGCTGCGTGGCTTCAGCACATTCACCAGTGAAATGGAGGCAGGGTGGCTTCTTACGTCCTTGCCAGGACTGACACGCCGGCAGCCTGTGGCATTTCTCTGCGGCCTGCACGTCACGGCGGGGCGTGCCCCCCACGGGCAGGCAGGGCGGACAGCGCTGGCTTAACTTGATCCTGTGCAGGGTCCGATCTCATTGCAATGAAATGCTTGATTTTTGAGAATGGCATTTGAGGGAATGAGGATTTTCCATTTCCTAGCCCCCTGAATCATTCCTGGAGAAGTCATGATGTTGGACTTTTCATTAGGAGTGTAAATCACAACAGAACAGTTCCTTGACCTCAGCAGTTTATAATCTGCATGAGTCATAAATAAAAGCAACGCTAAGTAAAACGAAGCTCTTTGATCCGAGGGGGTGTGAATAAAGATAGGATTGGCGCATGGAAAGCTCTGCTGAGATGGAATTATTTTTCTCCTAGCAGGCAAAGTGTTAAAAGAAAAATGTAGCTTTTTCTGAGGCAGACAACATTTATTGAGTGCCTGCTGCATGCGAGGCTGTGTGTTTGGAGCTTGGGGATGAGATCTTCAAGTGAGAAGGGGGTGTGTGCACAAGAGTGGGTCACTGCCATGTAACAGTGCATGCAGGACTCAGGGAGTGCAGAGAGGGGGTCACTCTCTGGGGACTCAGGAAGGGGCTTAGAGGAGGGGGCACTGAAGAGTGAGTGGGAGTTGGCAGGGCAATCAGAAGGGGATCACTGTGGACAGACCACCACAGTGGGGAGAGCCTGGTACTGGACCCCTTCTTATCTCTAGGGGTGATGTGGAGGGAGCAGGGGTGGAGAAAGGAGGCAACACAGGGCTTCCAGTCCTTGGCAGGTGTGCATTCAGAAGCCTCTGGACCCCTGAAGACAGAAATGTGGGCTTGCTGAAATGGGTATGAAGTCAATGCAGAGGCCCTCAGAGGATGGGGGAGTTTTTACACAAGTGAAAAATAACAGGACTCTGACAGTGGTAGGGAGCATGGCCAGGGGATGCCAGGAGAGGCCTGGCTTTCCTCCTGCCCCATGAGAGTTTGCCAGGTGGGGAAGTGGGCGATCGTGAGTGAACAGGCTTCCAAGAGCCAAGTTCACAAAAGCTGGTGGTATGGCTAGTAGATCTCCCCAGCAGAGTTGCGTGCGTGGGAGAAGGGGGTGTCGTCTCTGCCATGTGAGGATGGGGCAGGGGTGTTTATGACCGCCGAACCCAGATTCAGTGGAAAAAGTTAAAGGAGCAGTAACGTGAGGATAAGAGTGTGTGGGGGGAACATGACCTGAGGGCCTTGCATTTGGGGCTCGGCCAAGGATGGCAGGAACCCAAGCCGTGATGGGTTGATTGGCCTGGAGTGCTGGAATGTTCTCTGGGAGGGGGTTTTCCAGTGCTGCTCCAGTGGGGGCTCTGGAAGTCTGTGGGCTCTTGGCATTCCAGAGAAAGTCTTGATAGTGCATGGGCACTGAGCTTCTAAGAGATCGGTGGGGGTGGGGAGACCAACAGCAAACCCCAGCCCTATGGCAAGATCAGGACTGATCAGAGGCATCTGGCTTCTGGCCTTGGGAGGGTTCTTGGGGACCCAGGGAGGCCATGTTTTACAAGTTTTGCAATAACATACTCTTGCCAGATCCTTCACGGGCAATGCAAAAACTTTCATTTCCATCCGTGGGGTTGGCAGGAAAGGCACGTAGTTGTCAGGACGAGAACTACTTGGGACATTGCTGTCTGATTCTTTTTTTTTTTTTTTTTAATTATCTCACCCTCTCCCTTTTGTGCAGAACCAGAATACCAGGTATATCTGAACGCTTCGAAGGTGCCTGAGTTTTCCGACGACCTCACCGAGCTGGAGTGCCGGCTGGTGGACCCGAAGGGCACCGAGGCCAGCGTCCGCTTCACGGTGTCCTGGTACTACCGGGTGAGCCGGCGCAGCGACGACGTGGTGGCCAGCGAGCTGCTGGCGGTCATGAACGGGGACTGGACGCTGAAGTATGGGGAGAGGAGCAAGCAGCGGGCCCAGGAGGGCGACTTCATTTTCTCGAAGGAGCAGATGAACACGTTCAGTTTCCGGATCCAAAGGACTACGGAGGAGGACAGAGGCAATTATTACTGTGTTGTGTCTGCTTGGACCAAACAGCGTAACAACAGCTGGGTCAAGAGCAAGGACGTCATCTCCAAACCCGTCAACATATTTTGGGCGTCAGAAGGTAGATGCTGGTTTTGGTTCATTGGATTTGTTGTGGCTTCCATCGTCCCGCGTGCATTTTCCGCGGCGGGGTCACCCCACGCGTTCCCATTTCTGCTGGGAATCCGAGAAATGTTTGCTGTTGAAATGAATGACTGTTGCTCTTGTCTCGGGTGTGAGCCCTTGATGTTGACGGTGCTGAGAAGGAAACGTCTAGGCAAGAGCTGCGGCTTGGTCGGGAGAACGGGCGCCTCGAAGCAGTGTGGGGTGAGGCCTTGACACATGCTCTGCAGGTGGCTGTGGGCCCCACCTTGCCTGTGTGTCCCTGTCCCTGAGTTCCCACGGGAGGCAGGACATGTGAGGTGCCCCAGATTAAGTGGGCAGCCAGAGGCCTTTGTGCCTGTCCCCCCAGAATAGTCATCCATTCAAAGAGATTGCTTCTAGGGAGAGGCAACAACACTGTTCGTCTGCTCCCGAGTGCTCAGGGCACTTTCTGGCCAGGACATCCGATTTGAGGCTCAGTCCCTGTACTGTCTGTTGCCATAGGAAGCCCCAGCCTCCCAGACCTGCGGCCTCTGCAGCTGCTGTTGACTCATTGTCCCCTGCTGCATCTCCAAGTCCCAAACAGGGGCCCCGAGACCCAGCCAGATATCCTGGCCTGGACATTCCTTTCTCTTTCTCGCATTAGGAAGACCCCATTCCCTTGGCGCCCTCCTGAGGGGGCTGGTGATCCCTGTCCTGTGCACCTGGGCCTGGTGGGGCTGGTGCCCACACTGCAGCTTCTGGATCCTTCTCCCTCCCTTAGGAGCAGCCAGCTTGGACTCTCTTGTCATCAGGTCTTCCCACCTCCACCCCTGGCCACCCCCAGCGAGGGCCAGGCCCTCTTCGTTCTTCAAGGACATTAGCTTTGGGCCACAGCCCTCTCCCAGGACTGCCCCTGACTCTGACTTCCCTGTCGGCAGGGAACACTGGGCCACAGCTCACCTGCCCTGCTCTCACCTGGGCGCTCTCACCTGTCCTGACGCTCCAGTCCCACCGGCATGTCTGGCCTGATGGGGCAGGTGCAGTCTAGTCACTGGGGACTTAATGCTCGCAGATGGTTGTCACGTCCGCCAAGGCTGGGAACTTGGGTGCTGTCATTTCCATCACTCTCAGGCCCTGCCCTGCTGGCTGCTCAGTCCGGCCTCTAGTTTTGGTTTTCCCCACCAAGCTCACGCCTGCACGATGCTGTCTCTTTCTCCCCAGGAGCCCTTCAGCCTCTCCCACCCCCAACTGGCAGCAGCCTGCAGCCTGCAGTGTCCTTCACTCATTGTGTCTCCACTTCTCACATCAGAGCGTGACCACTGTCACCCACACCTGTCCTGTGTCATTGCTGATCTCACCCTTTCCTTCCTAAAGTGTCCGGAATGGGAGGCCTGATGAATTACGCAGCCACCCTTGCTGATTCCCAGTCCATCACAGTCCCTCCCTGGCATGCACCCTTAGCTCCCTCACTTTCCTTTTGCCCTCTGTTCTGGCTAAACCACACCCCAGTTCCAAGCCAGGGCTCTGCCGCCTCCCTGTCGCCTCTGCAGAGCTGATGTAGTGGAGAAATAATCCCAGCGTGTCGGCTCTCGTCGCTTTAAATCTGATCACTCATGTTAAGTGGACTCTGCCGGGACTCACTGCGTTTCCTTAATCTGTTTACTTCCTTACTCTCCAAGATGATTATTGCAAGCACCTTATCTCTTCACCACCACCCCCCCGCCCCCCCTACTCCCAGCTGTTGGTCCTGCTTTCTGTTTCCCTAAAACACCAGAAACAGAGAATTTCACCCACATTCTCTGGCTCAGTGACCAGCCCTTGTCATTCGGCCTCCTGTCCTCGCAGGGACCTGCCCCCCTCACTGCCCAGGCCCGCGGGCACACAGCCCCACTCTCTACAGCTCAGTATTTCTCTCTTCCCAGCCTTTCCCACTGGGCGCTGAACATGCCACTAAGCCTCTTAGTTTTGTTGTTTTACAGCTAAGTCTCGATCTTGCCTTCCCTTCATCGTTCTGTTCTCACACCCTTGGCCACCGTCACGCTGACTTTCCTTGCATGGCCAAGCTGTCCCCAGTCGCCTCCCGTTCTCCATGGTACCCACTGTCCTCAGGCTCTTGCCCCCGCTGCTGTTCAGATCACCAGCCTGATTGGTCTTACCTTTCCGAAGCAGGATGTGACGAGGTAACTGTTCCCTCCTCCTGGAATTACTGTGACTTTTCCTTGACGCTGGGGTTCCAGCCCCTGTGGGCTTTCCTCAGCCTCGTAGGCCTTCCTTCTCAGCCTGCCCTGCTGGCCCCTCATCGTCTCTCTGGCCCTCAAACATTAGACCGCCTCGGGACACAGTCCTGGGCCTGTGCGTCTCTCTACTGCCTTGATGGCCTCTGCTAATTGTGTGGATTTAAAGACCACCTCGACACCGTCACTCCCACATTTTGTTTCTAGCCTCGATGTCTTTCCTGGACTCCAGGCTCAGTATTGTTTTGCCCTCCTGGCATGTCCACTCGTCCAGTGGACGTCTCCAGCTGTCCTCTGGTCCTCCTTGGCCTTCTCTAGCACTGTGGTTCCCCATTACTCAGACCAAACCTTCATCCTTAATTCCCCACTCTTCGAGCTTGATCTTAGAGTCTCGCCACTGCCCACACCCCACTGTCCCCAGGTTCCCGCCACCTCTTGCCCGTAATGTGTCCCCAGCCACCTGACCTGACTGGGCTCCCTGCTTCTGCCCTTGGGCCAGGCAGCTGGAGCCGTCCTGTTAAAATATGAGTCTGATCATGAAACTTCTCTGCTCTGAACTTTCAAAGTCTCCTGCTCTCAAAGCAAAACCCAAAGTTCTCTCCTTGACCAGGGACACCCTGTGCCAACTGGTCCTGAGTAGCTGTGACCTGACCTGCAGCTGACGTCACGGCACCTGCTCTGCCTCTGCCTTCCCCACGCTTCCTCAATAGGACAGCCTGGAATGCTGTCCCCGGGTGGACACAGGGGCTTGCTCCCTCTCCCGGGGGCCAACCCTGGCCACGTCCTGACCCTCCACCTCTCGCTTTTCCTCTTCTTCCCCTGCCTTGATTCTCTTAAACATTTATCACCATCTCACCTCGTCGTGCATTTTATTCATTAATTTTGTTGGTCTTTCTCCACTAGATTAGAGGCGGGGAGTCTGTGTGTTTTGTTTGCGGTAGTATCCCCAGTGCCTGGAGTCTGGGACACTCTCAATAAGTGCCTCCGGGATGAATGAGTGGATTATGAAATTCAGTGGAGAGTCAGGAAGGAAGGCAGGTGACTCTGGGACCGCAGGAGCCTGGGCTCTGGGGACTGAAACATGACGTCCCTGTGCTGCTGGTGGGCGCCGTGGAGCTGCTGATCCAAAGAGTCCAATGTAAAAGTTTCATTTTATAACTGAACAAATTATAGATTTATCTTATTAGAGGATTAAAAAGGATGATTTAATGCATGTGTTCATCCCTTCAACAAATTCTCAAGCATCTTCCCGGTGCTTGACACTGAATCTTTATGTGCCCTGATGGGTTTAGTTACCCAGGACCAGCCATGGCCTGAAAATACGGGGCACAAGAGGGTATTTTGAGAAAGAGCACAGACTCGTGATGTTCACTGTAGTGGGTGGTTGTGATTATTCTACTTTATGTTGCTGTGGTTAACCTCTTACTGTAATTTATAAATCAAGCCCTATCATGGGGGTTTGTGTGTCTCACGGGTGTGTATGTATGTATTAGGTGTGTATGTGTTCATAGGTGTGTGTGTGTATCATGGGCATGTATGCATGTATCACATATGTGTGTATCATGGGTGTGTATGTATCATAAGTGTGTATGTGTGTATCTGGGGTGTATGTGTTCATAGGTGTGTGTGTATCATGGGTGTGTATGTGTGTATCACGTGTGTGTGTGTATCACAGGTGTGCATGTATGGAACAAGCTGCATATGGTCATGAATCGCTTAATAATGGAGAAATAGGAGTAGTGCATCATTAGGTGATTCTGTCATTGTGCAGACGCCACAGGATGCCAGTGACATCCCTTGGTGGGATAACTCTCAGCACACCTAGGCTGACCCCCGCCATGTATGTGCTTAGCCCCTGACGGGATGTTGTTTTTTTGCTAAGCCACGCACGAGATTGTGTGGGGTCTGGTGTTCACCATTCAGGTATCCCCTGGGGTCTTGGAACATACCCTGAAGATAAAGGGTGGGGGGACTATTGTATAGGGGGGGATTGTTTTCAATGGAGAAGCTGGGAGTAAGGCTCCGAAGCCTAAAGTTAATGCAGCCACGGACACTTGCTCAGCATATCCAGGCAGCATCTGAGTGGGCATGACCAGGTGCTCAAGCATGTGCGCTCCAGCCGCTTTTGTAATAATCCAGGCTAAGGTGGCATCATGGTGAAATAGAGGTCAGGTCCCCCCATTCTCAGGCCTTTCCCTGCCTCTGCGGGACCTGAAGGCAGGGTGGGGGCAGGTGGCACCGCTTGGGGACTGACTGGGTGCTGTGTTTCACCTTGTATTCTGTGTCCCTAAAAGTAAGCCCCCCACATCCTCGTGGGCACTGGTGGCCTCCCAAGTTCTCAATGTAGGTGAAACTTCTCAAGGACTTGAAAACCCTTTAAACCAAATTCTCCCCCTGGGTCTTCTCTTCCCTCACACCCACTACAGCTCCTTAAATGACTCTGCTTTATTCAGGGGGGTGGATTTCAGCCAGATTAGAGATATATCTGGTTTTTCTTTTAGAGTTTCCAGAATTCCCTAAGTACTAGTGCGTGTCAGTTTGCAAATAGATTCCTCTGTCCTGACATTGGGCTTTCCAATGCACCTGCATTTCGACTACTGCTGTTGCAAATCACCTCTTTCTGGTGCTCATTCCAGATTCCGTGCTTGTGGTGAAAGCCAGGCAGCCAAAACCATTCTTTGCTGCAGGAAATACATTTGAGATGACTTGCAAAGTGTCTTCCAAGAATATTAAGTCGCCACGCTACTCTGTTCTCATCACGGCCGAGAAGCCTGTTGGGGATCTCTCCAGTCCCAACGAGACCAAGTACATCATCTCCCTGGACCAGGATTCTGTGGTCAAGCTGGAGAACTGGACAGATGCGTCACGTGTGGATGGCGTGGTGTTAGAGAAAGTGCAGGAAGATGAATTTCGCTATCGAATGTACCAGACTCAGGTCTCAGATGCGGGACTGTACCGCTGCGTGGTGACAGCCTGGTCCCCTGTCCGGGGCAGCCTGTGGCGCGAAGCAGCGACCAGCCTCTCTAATCCTATCGAGATTGACTTCCAAACCTCAGGTGAGCAGAGAATGCGACTAAATCACAGACTAAGCTAAAAGAGACCCTAGGGTTTTGATCCAAACTCTTTTTTAAAAAAAGATTTATTTACTTGTGCATACAAGAACTGGGGTACAGGCTAGAGGCGTGGGGGTGAGAGCAAGGGGTTAAGATGCAACCTATGAAGCTGTTGGCAGCTACTGCAGCACAAGTTCGATCCCCGGCCAGGGAGCTACCCACATGGTGCAGCAGACCTCTCCTGACTCTCCTGCTGCTCCCCTCAGCAGTGTAATTCAGTCATTCTGCTTCTTTTTTTTTTTTAACAGCTTAATGCAGATGTAATTCACATGCCGTACAATTTGTCCATGGAAGTATATATTCTGTGACTTGCACTGTATTCAGAATTGTGCACCAATCACCATAATCAATTGTAGGACATTTTCATCACACCTAGTAGAAAGCTGTGCCCTAACTTAACTGACCCCTTCACCATCCCCCTGTCCTGCAAGCCGTCACTGCTGTACTTTCTGTCTCTATGAATTCCTATTCTGGAAATGTCACGTAAATGGAATATAACATGTGACCTTCATGCCTGGCTTCACTAACTTTAACATAGTGTTTCTGAGGGTCATGTGTCTAGCATGTGTCAAACTTCCTTTTTAGGACTGAATAATATTCCATTGCATGAATACACCATGTTTTGTTTATCCATTTATCAGCTAATAGACATTTGGGTGTTTGTAGTTCTTGGCTATTATGAACAACGTTGCAATGAACTTGTGTGTGAACATAATTACCCTCATTTTCACTCTTTTTAAAATAGATAAATCAAAACTCAGCTGTTTCAGATCTTTTAGGAAACATGGTAGGGTATAAATAGAGGAAGGCACTGAGCCGGGAGTTTTAAATGACTTGCTAGGTTTGAGGGATTCAGTGAAGACCCCAGTTTTATCTAGGTGATGGCCTTCACTCTTAGGGGTTCCCAAGGGCTGAAAACAGTGGGCTGTGTCTGGCCCCAGCTTCTAAGAGTGCTATTTCCATCCAGGGGATGTGTATCCCAGCCTCCTGCTTCGCCTGGCTTTTGAATTGGGAAAAAAATTCCTTGTCAATTAGCTGGGTCGCCAGAGCTGCTGTGCCGTGGATGAATATGTCTGTTCTCCCTATTTGTTAAGGTTGGGAAGGTTAATTGAAACAAGGGCATTTTTGTGTCTATCCTGAATTGATTTTATTGTTAGTAAGTAAAATGTTTTTATACTTTAAGGTAGGAAGGTTGGCTTTTTTCATGCTACAGGTACTACCTATTCTCAAGTAGAAATATTCTTCCTCTGTGGAATTCGTTAACTTCCTCTGACACGTGTGTGTGTTTCAGCAGGTTGATGACTGAGAAATTTTTGATCCTCAACTTTATTTAGAATAGTAATGTGAAGTGAAGATTTTCACTTGGTGTCTCCTGCATTCCAATCAGAAATTTCTGAATATGTAAATCCATGTGGACCTATAAACTTAAGGCTGAATTGAATCAATATAGTGCATGCAAGATATTTGTTGAATTAAATGAATACTATATATCCTAAAAGTAAACTAGATCCTTGAATGTTTCTATTAATATTATTTTGTTTACAAATAATTTTCAGGCGCGTTTACTCTGAGCATTAGCATAATGAAGAATAAATATAGACTTAAACCCTTAGATTTAGAAAGAGCCAAGAAACACTGGCTTCTTTTATTGTCTGTCTGCTTGTTTTTTTAATAATAGCTTTATTGAGATACAATTAACTCACCATAAAATTCACCATTTGAAGTGAACAATTCAGTGATTTTTAATCTATTCACAATTGCGCGACCAAAACCGTTATCTAATTCCAGACTTTTTAACCACTCAGGAAAGAAACTCCGTATCCATGCAGAGTCCCCCATCCTCCTGCTCCCAGCCCCTGACAACTGCTGACCTCTTCCTCTCCCTAGAGATTTGCCTCTTCCACATGCTTCATATGAATTGGGTGGTGCACGAGCGGACTTCTGTACTTGGCTTCTTTCACTTAGCATGGTGCTTTCAAGGTTCATCTGTGCTAGGGCAGGTGTGAGTGCAGTCATCCCTTAACTTTAGGGCCATGCTCTGAAAAATGCAACAGGTGATTGCACACTTATGCTAATGTCAGAGAGTGTATTTACACACACCTAGATGGTGTAGCTGACTACACACCTGTATGCACACCTATCCTGTAGGTGCCTACTGCTGTCCACCATGGACTGAAACATCCATGGACGGTTCCTGGCAGGACCTCGTTTTTTTTAAGGTTTATTTATTTATTTATGCATACAAGAACTGGGGTACAGGTCAGAGGTGTGGGGTGTGAAAGGATTCACCAGAGACAGAGTGGGAAACAGAACAGGCAGACTGACTGAAATACACTGCTGAGGGGAGCAGCGGGTGGGGCAGGAGAGGTCTGCTGTGCCATGTGGATAGCTCCCTGGCCAGGGATGGAACTCGTGCTGCAGTGGCTGCGGACGGCTTCATAGATTACTTTCCAACCCCTTGTGCCACAGGACCTCATGTTTTTTTATGCCTGAATAATTTTCCATTCTGCACTCTTATCTGTTCGCCCACTGATGTATTCATCATTTGCCTATTAGGACTCATGCTGATATTAACATTAGTTTACAAGTTTTTGTGCGCATAAAACTTTTATTTCTCATAGGAGCAATACAATATTGGGTATGTGTGGTCACTCTGATTAACTCTTTTTTTTTTTTCACAAGCACTGGGTACAGTGAGGAGCGTGGGAGGGTGAGAGAGAATTCACCAGAAACAGAGCGGGGAACAGAACAGGCAGACTGACAAAATACACTGCTGTGGGGAGCAGTGGGCGTGGCAGGAGAGGTCTGCGTGCCATGTGGGACCCTCGCCGGTGGCCGGGGATAGAACCGGTGCTGCAGAGGCTGCGGGCAGCTTTGCAGCCCAGCACTCCACCATTGCACCACCAGGGGAGGCCCCCACTCTGATTAACTCTTCAAAAGATATTTGTTGAATTAAATGAATACTATATATCCTAAAAGTAAACTAGATCCTTGAATGTTTCTATTAATATTATGTTTGCCAAAGCAGCTGCACTAGCAGGGTATTAGGATTCTGATTTCTCCACATCCTCACTGGCCCGGGTGTATCACCATCTCCCCAGCCTAGTGGATTGAAGTAATGTTTTATTATGGATTTTTAAACTTGCATTTCCCTAATGGTAATTATTTTGAGTATCTTTTCATATGGTTGCTGGCAATATGCACATCTTTGGAGAAATGTCTTTTCAGATCATTTTCCCATTTTCAAATTTCTCTTTTTTTGTTCTATTGTTGTTCATAGAGTCTGGAAACAAGTCCCTTAACAGATACGGGATTTGAAAATATATTCTCCCATTCTGGGGAGGCTTTTCACTTTTTTAATGGTGAGAACCTGGAAACAACCAAGTTTTTAATTTTGATCATCCATTTTTTTTTTTCTTTTTGTTGCTTATTCTTCTGGTGTTACATCTACAAAACTCCATTGCCTAATCCAAGTTTGTGGCGCGTTATGCTTCTGTCTTCTAAGAGTCTTATAGTTTGAACTCTTAGGTTTTGTTATATGCTCCATTTTGAGTTAATTTTTGTGTGTGAGATAAGGAAATAATAAGATTTTTTCCTTTTGCATGTGAATACAATGGTACCCCCTTAGTGCCATTTGTTGAAAAGTACTTCTTCCCCACTGACTTGTCTTGCACATTTACAAAGTCACTTACCCAAAATTGTCAGGGTTGACATGTGGTCTCCCAGTTCTGTCCGATTCACCTAGATGTCTGTCTCTTTCTATACCAGTACCATATTGTTTGGTCACTATAGCTTGCAGTAGGTTTTGAAATCAAGGAGTTTGCTTCTTATACCTTTGTTCTTTTTTCAAGATCGTTTTGGCTACTCTGGGCCCCATGCTTTTCCATACCAATTTTTTTAAGATCAGCCCATTACTTTCTGCAAAAAAAAAAAAAAAAAAAAGACAGCTGGGTCTTTGATAGGGAATATGTTGGATCTATAGTTCAATTTGGGAATATAGCTGGCACTTACCTTGCAAGCTGTGACTATGAGGAATATTTCCATTTATTTAGGTCTTTAATTTCTGGCAATGGTGTTTTATAGTTGTCAGCATATAAATCGTGAATATGCACCCTTCAGTTAAGTCTTATATTTTATTCTTTTGGGAACTGTTGTAAAAAGAATTGCTTTCTTAATTTCCTTTCTGATTTGTTCATGGCAAGTGTATACAAACACAGCTCATTTCTATATTGATCTTGTGTCCTGTAACCTGGCTGAGATAGTTTTATTTTCTCCTTGCTGGATGAATACCTTCTATTTCTTTTTCTTATCTTGTCACCCTCGCTACAACCTTCAACACAGAGCCGAGGAGCAGTGAGGCACAAGTGAATACCTTTGTCTTGTTCCTGATCTTAGTGGGAAAGTCTTCAATCTTTTACCACTAAGTATCATGGCAGCAGGGGGTTTTCACTGATACCATTTTTGGAGAAGTTTCCTTTCATTCCTACTTTGTTGAATACTTTTACCTTGAGGAGGCGTTGGGTGTTTCCAAATGTTTTTTTCTGTGCCTGCTGAGATCAGAAGATTATGGGTTTTTTTTGTCCTATATTTGTATACCTGTCTCGCTGTCTCTAAGAGTTTATTTCTCCTTTATAGCTTTATTTCTTTATGTCTTGTTTTACATTTGTCACTTGTTACTGTTACGAGGAAGAGGGGAGAGAAAATCTTTTGTATGTATTTTTGTGTGAGGAATGGGCATCAAACCTCTCAATTCTTTAAATCTCAGCCAAACAGATAAAATCACTGTAGCTTCCAGGTTGAATAGATACCTAAGGTTTTTATGTAATTTAATCCATGGAGTTGTCATGGCCAGTTCTCGGTCTAATTAAGAGATGCTGCCGACAAATTCAGCACCCAGTACAGCCCCCTAACTCTGAATAGCTCCCAGCAAATATTGGCTTGGTACTCAAGAGTCTTCACTCTTACCAACCCACTGAGCACTCTGAGGCCTGTGCAACAGAGAGGACCTTCCTCGTGTCTATCTCCCTGGCCCCGGGTTCCGGGACACCGTCCAGTTGGTATATGGATAGTGTTTTCCCCGCACCCTACTGAGTCGTGACCTTTTCTGACTCAGTGTCAGGAGCAAAGACATTTAAATGTGATGATGTTAAAGTTTTTTTCCTTAAGAGAAAGAAAGTTTGAAAATAAAATAAAGCAGAAAGAAGGAAAAGCCAATCACCCATAACCCTACCAGCCAAAGACAGCTCATTTGTGTTGCTCATTCCCCTACAGTTTCTCCCTTGAGTGTTTTCTTCATGACCTTGAGATGAGACTATATGTGCAATTATATGGTGTCCCCTCCTGCACCTCCTTTGAATATTTTAAGATCAGCATTTTCCACGTTATCACAAATCCCAGGTAAACACTGACTTTAATGAGTACTAGGCTGGGTCAGCGCCCACCCCCTTGGTGCACCAGCAGAGAGGATGCCGTTTTGACTTTCAAAAAAACATTACGGCGGATAAGAGCTTTTTCAGGGGTTGGAGTTCAAAGTCTGTTGTCTTGCATCAATGTTTGTATTTAAAAGCTAAGTGGACTAAATTGTATGTAAAAGCTCTAACTCCTGTCGAGGAAGAATTGGGGGTCTGTGACTGACTCTGGTGGTTCACTTAAATTCCCCATGCCTTCGCCTGTCATCTGTGAAGTTGGCCAGACAAATCTCCTCACAAAAACAGCATTACTACAGAAATTGACCATAATAAAAATATTTCTAAGCCTGGGATAATGACCCACATTAACAGTGAGTTGTTGATTTCATTAGAAGGAAATCCACTGCTGTGAATAGCTCACAATGAAGGCCTTTTCCCCGGACCTTATCTGCATGGTGAGCCGCAGCACAAATGCCCTGTTGTTCCCACAGCCGGGACCAGTCAGGGAAATGAGAACTGTAACTTGTGACCTAGAAGGCATTTGGGGTTTTCTTTGGGAATATAAAGGGAAAAAAGTGAACTCTGTCCAAATGAAGTAAGTCTAGCTTTGTTGTTTCAGATTAATAGAAACTCAAACCTATAATGAGGATTTCTTTGTTAGATCGTTCTGAGTTCTCTTAGAAAGGAATCTGAGCCCTTTAATATAACTCTCTCGGAGCTCTAGTACCGTGAAATTTCTAGTCAGAGAAAAAGTTATACACCTCACTCATCCTGGTTTACTGACCTGTACTCACAGGTAGACGGGCAAAGTCCTGGTCGGTTACTACTAAGCCAGCTCGGAGCAGCAGGCTTTGCTACCTCATTGCTCTAAGCAGAGCGAGTCCAAGGCTAAGGTACTCAGGGAATCACGGTTGAAAGTTGAGTTGCTTGGAGGACATCACGCCCAGAAATAGATCAAGTTGTCTGTTCCACTTTGCCTGCCTCGGTTTCCCCTTTCTTGGGGCCAGCTTTCTGTGAGGTTCGTGGTGCCCTGGAGTCAGGCCTCCTGCTGCTGTGATCTGGCTAGTTGGACTTCTCAGAGGACCCTTTGAGGGCTGTGTCCTCACCCTGGCTGCTCTTTCTCACAGTGCCCTTCACCTGTCTCCCTACAAAACACAGATAACTTGGGCACTTGGTGGTAGGAAAGCTGTCTGATGAATTCACCTACTGCTCTGTTAAAATGAAAATACAGATTTTTCTATCTTCATCCCTTTAGTTTGTGTGACCTTTTAGTAAACTCTTTCTATGGTAATTTCTTTTAGATGTTAGAACAGTTCTTGTTCCTTTTTGATAATCTGATTTAAAAGGTAGTCCCACCTGTATTCTTAGGGCCTGATGAGTTTCAGAATCATTGTTCGAAACCACCTATCTTTGTTTCCTAGGAACAAGGAAAATCCCATAGGATTAATATTCTGGAAACTTCTTCAGCTTTACCTGTTCCTAGATACTAGGAATTGGGATGAGATAAATATCGGGCTCTTAGGATTAGGTTGACTTAAAGCTATGTGATGTGATGCTTAAAGCTATGCGATGCTTTCACTTAAAAGTGAGTCCAAAAGGGGTTTAAAAAAAGGAAAGCAGTTCCCAGCCCCTCTGCATGCTAAGGGGCAGGTGGGTGCCCCTGGTGCTTCCAGACAAGGCTTACTTAAAAAAAAAAAAAAAAAGGAAAATATCAGATGGTTCCGCTTATAGAAGGAATGCAGCGGGACCAAAAATTATAGAAGGAATGCAGGGGGACCAGGAAAAAAAATTACATTAATTAAAAACCAAAATTAACAGGCAACTATTAATCAGAGACACTGCAGGGGAGAAGGAGGGAGGGGAATCAAAACAGGGGAGGGAATGTGTTCTCACACAAGGGACTATGGTGCTGGTGTGCGGGTAAATTGGTGGTGGGAATTTTGTGGGGATTACATCGGAGAGCAGAAAGCATGCATTGTACAAAAAGGAAGAACAATGTAATATATATATATATATATATAATTAAATTTAATTTATAGTAACTTAGTAGAAACAAACAAACAAGCAAACCCAAGTAAGCCACTTACTCGCCTGCTAATCAAAGAGCACAGTAATAACTATGTCTATAGCCCGCTGCATCCAACCCACAATGGCAAACATTACTAAATCCTACCATTAAATTCTCTTATTGTGTTGCCTGTAAGTATATTCAGTACCTTATAGCTCAAATACTTGGAGCTTCCGTGCCTTGCAGTAAGGAGATGGTGCTGAGAGGCACTACCTAACCAGGAGATAGGTAGAAGCATCTTCTGGCCTTTGGAAGAAAGAAGGGTCTTTCATGATGATAAACTGGAATGTTCTCAGGAAGATCTGGGTAGTTCTTGAAAAGAATATTGACCCCTCAGGTCCGCCCGGCAGATTAGCTCCATGCCTTCTTCTGTTCGCCCACCATCCCCAATCGAGATGTCACCTTGTCAACACTTCTGTCTCCTCATTGGCTTTCTACCTCTTAAAAAAAGCAGGGTCTTGTGCTCAGCACCCAGCATGAAGGGGCCTCTTACTGCACCAGGACTGAAGCGGCCTCTTCTGTCCTGAGCCCTCCCCCCTCCACCCTCCCCAGGCCAGAAGGGAATCAGGGGAAGCAAGACAACCCAGACTGCACCAGGGAGGGAGCCGGGGCTGGCCTTCACATGAGACTGTTAGTTGCCATCAGAGAAGAGGTCTAGAAAAAGCCAGAAGCAAAATTAACTCTTTAGGAATGTTTTCTTGGTTGTAATCTTCAGATGAAGCCCATTCAGATGTGCCCAATGCACATGTCTTGAGTAGAAGAGAAGCAGCTTAGAACACCTTTTCAGTCGGTTTTTAGCTCAGTTCCAAGGAAAGGCGGCCACATGTAGACGCCCGTTAGAAAGGGACCAAGAGGGCCTCCCTGGTGGCCTAGGGGTTAAGTCACAGCACTATCACCATGACGGCCTGAGTTGCAATGGCCTGAGTTCGATCCCTGGCCAGGGAGCTGACCCATATGGTGCAGCAGACCTCGCCTGTCTCCCCACTGCTCCCCTCAACAGTGTATTTTAGTAGATCTGCTTGTTCTGCTCCCCACTCTGTCTCTGGTGAATCCCCTTAACCCCCCACACTTCTGGCCTACACCCCAGTTCTATTATGCGTAAATAAATCTTAAAAAAAAAAAAAAAAGTACCAAGAACAGAATCTAAACAAAAGTGAAAAGGAGACTCACGGAGCCTCGCTGTTTTCCAGGCCCCGTGTTCAATGCCTCCGTGCACTCAGACACGCCGTCCGTCGTGCGGGGGGAGCTCATCAAGTTGTTCTGCATCATCTCTGTCGAAGGAGCAGCGCTGGACCCAGGTACCTCTCTCCATCCTTCCTCCTTCCCCACGTTGCTTCTGGGAGTGTTTCTCCCCCACTGCTTGACACGAGCTTGACACGAGTGGAGATCAGGGGTCCGGGTGCCTGCCTGTCCCCCACCTGCCCGGTGTAGTGATTTGCACTCAGTAGGTGTTTAATAAACACTTGTGGCATGGGTGCAGCTGCCTGTAGGTGATGTGAAAACACAGCCAGACTTTGGAGTCTGCGTTGTCGAGGTGAGCTGGGGGACCCTTCTGGGAGTGATTCAAGCTGGTTTGAAATGCACTGGCAGAGCCTCCCTCCTTCTGCCTTTCATTCATGGGTTCATCGGCGCTTCATTGAGCTCCTCCTATGTGCAGATGCTGCTGTAGATGCTGGAACTAGAGGAGGGAGCAGAGTGCACAAATCTGCCCTCACAATCTGCAACCTAGTTAAGAAGACAGAAGAAACTCCACGTAACGTGCTGGCAGAGAACAGTTAGCCGCTCTGTGCAGGACGGAGCAGACCGAGTGAGATGCAAGCGGCCAGGTGCTTGGCATATGTTAAGTTACTAGGAAACCTTTGTAAATCTTTCTGTGCCGAAAATATAAGCGGCCCCCGCGAGACACCTGAAGTCGTGGGGCATCAGCCTTGAGCATCCTCTGCTGGGCCCCTCGGTGACCTGTTCTACCTGTGGCGCTCTTAGGCCCTCAGGGTTTGGAGGAACATTCAGGGCGCCCAGGGGCCTCTGTTGCTGAGCCGCATTGTGCCCACCTCCTCCTTCCCCCAGGGGCCCATGGGGAGCTGGACGCGCTGTCTGTGGCGTCTTCTCTCTGCGCTTGACCTTGTGTCTCTGTCCTGCTCCGCACCCCCACCCCTGTCACAAATCGAGCCAGAATCTCACACATTTGTACATTTTAAAAAAGCAGAATTGTACAGGATTCACAGAATTCTGTGACTCTGGGACCTGGGGTGGACACTGGGGGCGGCAATTAAAGGGCAGATGATAAGCCACGGCAGGGCAGGTGCAGCGAAGCTAGCGTGAGGCCCTGAGCCGGGGCTGCATCTGGCGGAGTGGAGGAGCCGAGGCCCGGGCAGCCTGCCTGGGGCTGGCTTCTGCAGGCCCTCCAGGGTGTGCGTCAGGGGACCCTAGCTCAAGTCCAGCAAACATTTTGCATCAAGGATCAGGTGGGATGATGTTTCACTCTGTGGTCACTGCAGCAGCTGTCTAAGGGGCTCCGCGGAGTTGCCAGGAAGCTGGTGGCCCGAGCTGGCCTGCGGGCTGGTGTAGTGACCTGTGGACTAGTGGCTCCAGCCAGGAATTGGGCTCCTCAGAACCTGAACATACTTGAGCTTAGGTGGGAAAAGGAGAAGAGTCTGTTGACAGAGGAAAGGAGATTGAAGAAGCTGAACCGAACCAGTGGCGTGGTTAGCTCTGTTCTCTGGGGGTAGGGGAGCATTCAGGCGAGCTGCCGCTGCTGTTCCTGAGGTGCAGGAAAACAGGGGACCCAGGGCAGGCTTCAGGAGTGACGTGAAGGTAAAAGTAGAAGAGACTCCCAGGGAAAGGGAGGGAAAGGCTTGCAAATGTATGAAATCACTGATACCAGTTTTATCCTCATTTATGATCCATCAGAGTAAAGCGTTGCAATGCTCTGACAGAGAGTTAATGGATCACCAGTTGTGCCCTTCACCTACAGGTCCGTTCCTCCAGGGTAACTGCTGAAGCTCTAGGCAGCTGTTATCCTGCAGATCACAATTTTCCAGAACTTTGCACTCTTGGACTGTGTGGGTGGAAGATTCTGAATAATTAAACACAAGTTATAATTTAGTTTTTCCTTATGCAGGCTAGGGGCAGTGGAGGGGTTCTGTTCTGGAAGGGGCCATGTTGGCGAGGTGGAGGAGGTGCTGGGCCCAGGGCGCAGAGGGCTGGGCCTGATCACGGCCCTGGAGAGGCAGAAGTCGGGTTCTCTGCAGCCGAGCCTGAGGCGAGCATGCGCGTGATGAGTTGAGGATGTGCTCTCGGGAGAAAACTGAGGGAGAGAGGACTCGAGGTGGAGTAGGGAAAGAAGGCAGGCAGAGATGTGAATTAAATTCAAGTCGTAACTCCCCTCAGGGAGCTCTGCAGCTCAATGGTACCCCAGAGTGTGGCTGCCTGAAGGTAAAGGTCTGGGCCCTTACATCCCCCCAACTAGTCAATCTCCAGCTGTTTCTTAACACCCAAATGCATCTCCAGGAGGTGGCTGCTGGCAGCTGAGACCAGTCCCCTGGGGAAGGTGCAGGTGGGGGGCTCTGCAGCCAGCAACTGCACAGCGACCGGTCTGTGTGGGACACCGGTGTGTATACTACAGGCATTGACTCCCATCCCGTTAGCCACATCTACCTCGGCCCTTGAGCGACCTGGGTTTGAACTGTGCTGGTCCATTTATATGCAGATGTTTCTCTATCCACAGACTCTGTGTTCACAGATTCAACCAACTCTGATGTTGGCTGAGGAATCTGCAGATAGAGCTGCTGAGCACCCAGGATTTTGGCATCCAGGCAGGGTCCTAAAAACAGTTTTGAAATGACAACAGCACGACAATGGCACCCATGGTGGAATTAGTTATCTTACAAAGTGCCGAGAACAGCACCTGGAATATAGTATACGCTCAATAAAAGCCGGCTACCAGCAGTACCCCCACACAGAGATCCGAGTGTAACTTCTGACTCTCCAAAAACAGCCATAGTCATCTCCTCGATTGTTTTTAGGACCCTGCCTGGTAATGACATCCCCACCCATAAACTTAAGTCATGCGATTAGCAAGTGCTGGCTTCAGGGCTCTAGCCCGGGCAGCCTGGCCACCACCCTGTATGGCTTGGCGGGATAGGTTTGCATCTGGGCACAGGTAACTGGGACACTTGTGACTTTGTCCTCAGTTTACTACCCGGCACCTGCAGGCGACAGCACCACAGTGAGGGAGCGAGGATGCCAGCGGCACTCCCTCTGCCCCCAGGGGGCTGGTCTACTTGGCGAGAGTTGACCTGCATGCTGGGATCAAGCAGAGTTTACGCTCAAGTGCCTCAGTGGGTCATTGGGGAGGAAAGAAGATATTTTGAGTGTCAGAGTAGAGTCCTGTCATCACGTGGGGCAGGGTGAGATTCGCCTGTGGCCACTGGTAATTTTAGAGTGAGTTGAAAAGGAATTACCAGTTGGATCATTTTACAGAAATCCTTGCTTTAGTTTTGCGTGCATCTTTCTTTGTTAGGAAGCATCTGAATGCATTTACCTTATCCAGTGCTTTCTGAGGTTCAGTATCTTTTTGTTGAATGAGCAAGTGTTACATCTAGAAGGCCTCGCCAGGCGACTTCAAGGTGACGCCCTGCGGGTGACCCCATGTGCTCTCTGGCCTGCCGGCAGGGTCTCAGACCAGACACAGCCGGTGTCAGTGGGCAGCGCCTGTGACGTGCACCGTGTCCACATTCTGGGGACCCCACCCCACCCCTGTGTCTTCTTCTTTTGTGCCCTTATTCGTTTATTGGACCTTGGTTTTGCAGAGTCCCTCTCGAGGCAGCCGCCTCACTCGCCGGGACTGTTAACTGCATCCAGTTTTCTCAGCTTGACGTTTTTTCCCTCTTGTTCTGAACGGAAACCTTTCTGCAGGGGGCAGAAGTAACAGCCGCAAACAATATGTTTATGACTCCCGGTTGTGTGCATTTCACTGTTTGGCTTCCCAGGTCTGTCTACTGAGATGACCAAGGACCTGCTTTCTTTGGGAGACAGAAGGTGCTGTGCCCCCATGCACCAGTGTCAAGTCCTGTGTCCTGGGGGAGATGTTTTGGCTCTGACACATCTGCCTGTGTGCTATAGCTGGGGGTGCGGCATGGTTAAGAATCCAGCCCCAGAATCCTCTCTGCCCCTGGACTCCCAGTGTTAAGCCACCACACTCTGCTCCCTCCTGGCCGTGTGACCTTGAACAAGGTGTTTCGTGCTGCTGTAAAGAGGGGGGTGTGATGGCACCTCTTGTAGGGTGGTTGTGGGGAGCCCATGGGACCCAGGGTACCTGCGCCGTGCGGCCGGAGTGAAGTTCCATGCATTCCGGCCGCGTGTGCCTGTCTTGTGTGCGCTGACCCGGCTTCTGGTTGCTCGCCCGCAGACGACATGGCCTTTGACGTGTCCTGGTTTGCGGTGCACTCCTTCGGCCTGGACAAGGCGCCCGTGCTCCTGTCTTCCCTGGATCAGAAGGGCATCGTGAGCACCGCCCAGAGGGACTGGAAGAGCGACCTTAGCCTGGAGCGCGTGAGCGTTCTCGAGTTCCTGCTGCGTGTGCACAGCTCCGAGGACCAGGACTTTGGCAACTACTACTGTTCCGTGACTCCGTGGGTGAAGTCCCCAACAGGTTCCTGGCAGAAGGAGGCCGAGATCCACTCCAGGCCCATCTTTATTACTGTGAAGATGGATGGTAAGCATTTCTCCCGGTGTCTGGGGAGCCTCTCCCTCGGTGCCCCCATTTGGAACGCGCCACGGCAAACCCTGCTTGCTCTCTGCCCTGGCAGGCCTGTGCCGGGAAGGGCATCGGCAGCCCTCGCTGTGTGCCCAGTTCTGGTGTCACGGGCTGGAGGCTCCATCAGGAAAGGATTCTTTAAGGCTCATGGCAGGATTTGCAATGATTTACCTCTCTGGAAATTCTGGGCCAGCCCACTCTGTGTGCCCTGGTGTGGTTGTGACCAGCCGAGGCAGAGAGGACACTGCATGGGGTCTGGTCCCTGACAGACTGGGGTGGGGGGGCAGGAGGGGTCCTGCTGATATTATCTTCCTGTTGGCTTTGCTTCTTAGAAAAGGCAGGGGGCTCCCCACGAGCCTAGCACAGAGGGGTTCTTCACAGAACTCTGACATGGAGAGGGAGCTCCTGGCCTTGCTAGCCCATGCTGACCGCCAGGGTCAGCCTAGGGCCCCCTCCCACCCCTTTGTTCCCTGAGCACCCCAGGAACGGGGATGTTCCTCCTAGTTGAGGAGAAACGTGTCTTCTCCACAAAAAGCTTCAGAGTAAACATTAATCAAAAAACTGCATGGAGAGAAGGGAAGTCCAGGTGCCTCTGAGGTTAGTCAGAGCCTTTGAGGGTGTTTCCCTAGTGATACGTCAGTTTGGGGGAGACTGGAATTGACACCCCAACTTCCTTAGTTGACTTAGTTGTTCTGATCCTTTACTTCCTCCCTGAGAAGATGGGGCAATACTCTCTTGCGTGTTAGGAAATTAAAGCCTGGGATGTGTCCGGCACCCACCACTGGACCAGCGTTCACCCCAGGGTGTCGGTGCTTGTGGGGAAGTAGCGTGGGCTTTGGCTTGTGGGGTAGGGACACGTTTGTGCATTCCTGAAACTTAGTCACTTAGACCATATTTGCATCTTAGAAATTCCTTGCGTGAAGTGATTCCATATGAACACCCAGATTTAACAAACAAGTTAAGGGAGTGATTATTCACTTTGCTAGATAATTTACTATAGTGTTGCTTAAAATAGCTCCCCAGTACACTTCAGCTATTTGATGCATAGAATTGATTTATGCACAGTTTTGGTTTTTTTTTTTTAAGGCTGCATCTGCCACTGAATGTGTGGTGCCCTTATAGTGACTTTTAAAAATCAATCTCCTGCCAAAACCCTAAAAAGCAAGTTGACATTCAAGGACATGGAATGAGAGCTTTTTTCTGTTCCCTGCCACCACCACAGAGCTGGGTGCGGAGACATTTGCTCATTTTTGGACAGATATGACAGAGCTGCTATTATGTTTTCAGCACACTGTGCTAAGTGCTGCATCCTAGACGTGCTAGGTGCTACGTACGAGGCGGTGCTAGGTGCTATGTATGAGGCGGTGCTAGGTGCTGCATCCTAGATGGTGCTAGGTGCTATGTATGAGGTGGTGCTAGGTGCTGCATCCGAGACAGTGCTAGGTGCTACATACAAGTCCAAGGGGATGGGGATGGTGGTCTTCTCTTTATCACTAACCAGCTTCCCTTTGACCTCTGCCTCCCAGTGCTGAACGCTTTCAAGTACCCCCTGCTGATCGGCGTGGGCCTGTCTACCATCATCGGGCTCCTGTCCTGCCTCATCGGGTACTGCAGCTCCCACTGGTGCTGCAAGAAGGAAGTCCAGGAGACTCGGCGCGAGCGCCGCCGCCTCATGTCCATGGAGATGGACTAGCCGGACCCAGAGCTGGGATCGCGATGGAGGGCCGGTCCGGGAGCAGCGTGGGCGAGGAGAGGACAGTGACCTTGAACGCGACGTGTGTTGCGCCTGACCCCGTCCTCTCTAATCTCAGGTGGGACGTGGCGGCGCCCCCCTCTGCATGTCAAGTTCTGAGCGCGGGGGCGCTGCCCGGCACACGGCTCTTCTCCCCACGGCACTTTCTGATCGAACAATCGAGTGTGTGTTCTCCCAACTGCGGCTTTTTAATGGTTAACCTTTGTCTAATTTTTTTCTCCTACTGGTTTATAGATCCTCTGGCGTGTGTGTGTTTCTATCTTTCGTTTCGAGGGGTTGCAGTGAGGAGGGGGCGATGGCATTCGGAGTTCTTGGTCTGGGGTGAGGATGGACCAGCCGCCCCAGAGCCGGCTTCCGAGCGGGAGGCTCACGGAGGGCAGCGGCTGGCGTGGCCTCCGCCCCGGCGTGAGATGACCCGGGCCTGGATGAGAGCTGACTGTGGCTTCCACGGCCCTACCCTACCCCCTATTTTCAGGGGTTTAGACGACATTTGAGATCTAAACTTGCAGTATGTAACTTCTTCTTGAGCCCAAATGCTTTTCTTTTTTTTGCTTCTCTGCCCCCCTTCCATTTCTTTCGTACTTGCTTTATGTGAGAGTGCTGAAATGGCAGCCCTGGAATCTAGAACTTGCTCTCCACCGAGCACCTTATCTTGCCACCTTAGCCTTAAGAATGAATATGAAGAAAAATACACAGCCACCTCTCTCCAGGGCGGCCAGTGGCCTGCAGGAAGAGGAGGTTGGGGACAGGAAAGGGATGAAGCTCAGTCCAGGGCTTGTGTGCCCGGCTGCCTTGGGGCCCGGAGCGGGACGGGGGTCCCGTGAGTCCCCGTCCCCAGCCTGTGCCGAACCGGTCAGTGGTGCCCCGTGTGTCAGGTGAACGAGGCTGCCTCCATCCCTCCTGCCTGCCCTTTGCAGGAGAAAAGGCCTTGGCTACCACAGGGCCACCAAGGGGCCCACAGATACCCCACGTCCCTCATGGGCTTCTTGGGTTCCTTAACGTGAAGGCAGATTGCTGCTTGCAAGACTGACTTCACAGAATCAGAAATTGCCTAGAAGAACCATGCATTTTCCATGACCTTTTCAGTCCTTCAAGTCTTTTTAAGATCCCCTCCAGGGGGCTGGTGAGAGAGGGTGTACTTTGTGGTGCGTTCGCTTTCCTGTTAGGAACATGAAGGAAACCCAGCAATTTATTGCCACGTGAACAGCCTACAAAGTAGATCAGGGAGCAGGCTGTCTGCTCAATGGCTCCCACCGGGACCAGGACAGAGACCCAAAGAGCTCTTCACCCTCCCTGGAGCCTCCCCCAGGGCTGAGCACCGGCCTTCGGGCGGCTTCCCAGGGCTTCCAAGGCTCACTGCTGTCTCGTGACAACCCCCCCAGCCCCCGCATCCCCGGTGCTTCTGTCCCGGCCCTGAAGGATCTGACACTGCTCAGTCTTCCAGAAAGGAGAAAAGATTCAGATTCACTTGTTTTGAGCAATAAAGTAATACAAAGCGATGGCCATCCACGTGCAGCTCTTTGTCACGAGCAGAGCCACGTCCGGCCTGCTCGCCACCCCCTCCCTCCCTGTCCCGCTCAGCTCTGCATGCCTCAGCCCGGGGGCTCATCGCTGTGACTCTCCCCTGTGGTTTCTGTCTCCTGGAGAGAAGATAGATTCTAGGCTGCTGGCGCTGGCTCCTGAGTCCCAGCCCCCCAGTGTGGGTGGGGGGCAGGCAGCCAGTCACCACCTTGAGAGCGCTGGATTTGGGTGTTTTCTGCAGGTGATTTCCTGTGCTGTTTCAGAGCAGGTGGGCCATGGCTGCTGGTACAAACAGGAATGAAAGAGATTGTACAAAAAGGAACCCTCTTCCAAACATGGGAAAATGTGCTGTGTTAGTAACAGCCAGTGCCCTTGAACACTTGCAGTTTCACACCCCGAAAAGATGGAGGCTGTCCTCGGCCCTTTCTTAGTTGGAGGATAGGAGAGTTAGCTTCGGACATGACCCTGAGGCCCAGGGGTGTGTAAAACCACGATGGGTCACACCACACGCTCAGTGGTGGCCAGTGCTGCGTGCTCACACACCACCTTGTCCTGCAGGCTGCTGTTGCAGGTCAAGGCTGGAGTTGTGGCTTTGACCCCAACCCTATCCTCTGTCTGTTGAGCTGGCCGCACGGCAAGTCCGCCCACGGCTGTAGGAAGGGGGCGGACATCCCAGGGCAGTGGACCTACAACCTCCCTCCATGACGTACACCTGCCTGGCCCGTGTGTCTTTGGAAAGTGTGAGACACTTTTGTTGTACCAAATAGGGCTCCCACAAAGTGCTCTTTGGAAGAGGTTCCTGCCAGGATCACTGGTGTGAATGAGAGAAAGACCAGCTACGATTCTCAGATGAAATTGCACTTCTGAACTAAAAGAAACTTTATAAAAAAACATTTGGGTTTTATTTCTAATCATAAAAGCATCCCCAGAAAAGAGCCTCAGCTTCGTTCAGATAGAAGCCTCGAAATTAAATTGTTTACTTTACAATGTTTACATACACTTTTCACTTTTTTTTTCTAATAAAAAAATACAAACTCTTGACTTTTGGACAACTTTTCAGATTTTTTCATGGGACGGTGGAACTCTGACTCACCAACTGGATTTCAATCCTAACTTGGAAATTTATTTATTTGTATGCCCACCCCTCCCACCACCCCATGACTTTCCCTGTGACCCCAGTAAAGGAGGCCCCTCCTGCCCAGACCCTCCTCTCTTTTCCCCAGTGGCTCTTGCTTCTTGCTTTACAACTGCCTGCAGCCTTGATTTTGTCACTGACATCTGTGAGCCAAAGACTGAGCCTTTTTGGCAGGAATAATAAGCAATACTACACAACTTGCTACTTTCAGAAAACTTTTTTAATTTAGCTTCACTGATGACAACAGAGGAAGAAGGGAACTGGGATTTGGGTAAGTTCTCCTCCACTGTTCGACCAAATTCTCAGTGAGAAGTATTGTGTGCAGATCATTAGGAGAAAAAAGTTGACTTTGTTTCTTTTTTAGCGTGGCGCATAAGGATCTGCCGAATTTTACGTAGACAAAGAAAGGGTCTTGTGTATTTTTGTCCATATCCAATGTTATATGAACTAATTGTATTGTTTTATACTGTGACCACAAGTATTATGCAATGCACCATTTGTTTTTTATTTCATTAAAGGAAGTTTAATTTAAATTGAAGTTGTGTGAGGAACTTGGTGTTGGCCTCTGTTCTCCTTCTGTCTCGACTGCACGAGAGCTGGTGGCTGGATTCCACTTGCGATGAAAGCACCTTCTGATCTCTGACTTCTAGGAAAGTGTTATAGATTTTCATTAAAGATAAATGAGACGGATTTATCAGCATCGATATTGAGATTCCCACCAAGCTACAGGGTAAGGGCGAGGATCCTGTTGCTGATGGAAGGTCCTCTGGTCTTTTGGTGAATTCTCATGACCTTCTAGGTCTCCTGTCAGGAAACAGAGAAGTCCAGGGTGGTTCCTCTCTGCGGATGAGGAAACACACACCAAAGTCCTGTGACCATGTTGCGACTGGAACAGAATGGCCTTTCTGACTCATGACCCAGTGCGAGCCAAACTCAAGGACCAGCCCCCATAGTAGGAGCCACCCTTCTTTCCCGGACCGCTGGCGAGGGCCCCCCAGCTCCCTGCTGGCCCCTGGAGCACCTGGGTCCTTGGCTGGCTCTCCTGAGTCCTGGGCAGGGACCCCTTACAGCTGTGGATCTTCAGGGCCTGGGGCTGGGTCCCAAGATTGGGGCCACAGAGGGCACCAAAAATGCCTGCTGTTTATAGATGCACAGTTGCTGCTCTTCCTTGGGAGCTGGCCCGTCCTTGCAGCTTCCCAATGAACCAGGAGGGTTCTGCATGCACCCAAATGCTGACCCCGTCAAAGCTGATCTTTAGCAACCCTCTGCCTATCATGGAACCTGGTCATGCCTCAGTTTAAATGAAAAACATAACAGAAACTGGCTGGCACTCTTGCTGTGTGCCCAGGCATTGTGCTATGCAGAGAACCTGCCACTAACTTGCACATGTTTGCTTGCCTAGAAACTTCTTTCTACCTGCTAACTCTTACTTCTCCCTCAGGTCCCAGGGAGCCTTTTCTGCCCCTCCAGGCTTGGTTGGGCTCCCCGACAGGCTCTGAAAGTGCACGAAGTGGAGGCCACTCACTGTGTGGCCCCATGCCTGACTGTGACCACAGCTCACGCTGAACTCTTACAATGCATAGGACAATTGCCTCAGGTCACCCCAAGGTGATGACAGCAGAAGCTCCCTTCCCATATTCCCTTTAACTAGATCTTCCAAATAATAACTACCCATTTCCTTGACACACAGACCATGTGGTTGGCGCACCTTTAAAACGGAAATTTTGATTATTTAGCTGTGGCTGGCCAGCTGGTCAGAAGATGACTGTTACACAGATCCCTGGGGTGGGGGGCACCCACACCCTGGGGAGGGGTCATGCAGGAGAGTCCCTGTGTCCATCAGGAGGCAGAGGGAATGTGGTAGAAACATGGGCAACAAACTTTATTCTGGTTTTCACAAGAAGCACTGAGCAGGTCAGGGCAAACACATTCGGATTGACTGGTTTGGATAATTTCAACAGGCTTTTGGACATAGAAGTTGTCCCCAGTGATCTAACATGTCATCCTGGGCTGATTAGAGCAGGGGATGGGGATCCTGAGTGTGTGAGTCCGACGGAGGAGCTGGTGGGCTCAGGGTGGGTGAGGATCGGTGGGCTTGTCACATGTCCTGTTTGTAGAAACCAGCCAGCCCTTAAAGGGGCATCATCTCCAGGATCTGCAAGACCCTAGATGTCAACTTATCAGAAACCAGAAAATAAAATGACAAGATTTTGACACTTGCCACTTGAGACTTACAGACTGCTCAGGTGCACCAGGATGCCCCAGCTCCATCTGGGTAAGTGATCACCCGAGTATGTAATCTCCTACCTATTGGTGCTATCAGTCCTGGCCACCATGATTACATAAGGTCATGGAATAGAATGTTAAGCAATGAACTATGAATGCTAAAGAAAGATAAAAGTGAGATGGATTCTCTGGAAAAAGTCAACACAGGCAAATTGCTATTTTAAAAAAAATTACCAATTTTGGTCTGGGCAAAGCAGTTGTAAAAGATTAAAAAGGTTAAATCACAAAAATGTGGATAGAGGTTATCCTCTGTTGGCTTCACAAATGTTTTAAAATTTTTTACTCCATTTTAAAGATTTATTTATTTACGCGTACAGTAACTGGGGTACAGGCCAGAGGTATGGGGGTGGTGAGAGGATTCACCAGAGATAGAGTGGTGAACAGAACAGGTGGATATACTGAAATACACTGCTAAGGGGAGCAGCAAGTGAGACGGGAGAGGTCTGCTGCGCCGTGTGGTTCAGCTCCTTGGCCGGGGATCGAACTCATGTCACAGTGGCTGCCAATAGCTTCATAGCGCTGTGTTTTGAATTCCTGCGCCACCAGGGAGACTCCTACTCCATTTTAAAGAAATCAAACTGGGAAGTTGTAGAAAAGACATTGTCATTTTGGTTTATGCAAGAAAGTGATACAATCTCCAGGCACTAGATCCAAACGCAGTGAGGAAGAACTGGGTCTGTGTCAGGAGGTTGATGAATCATCATATGTATGCGTGGTTGTCAAAAGTAAACTCTCTAAGACACATAGGTGTACTTTCATGATTCTCAAATTTACCTGACACTGTTAACTGATTAGCTAATAGCTGAAATTGTGTCCTATAATCAAGTTTCCACTGTTCTTTGTCCCCATTCTTACAGATGAGAAATTTGGGACTTAAAGAAATGAAGTTAATTTCCTCACCATTTGAACCAGATTTTTCTCTCTCCAAAGTCTATACATGTCCTAAATCTAAACACCAGCCACATGCCTGAATGTTTTAGGCATTCAGTAAATGTTTGTTAAATAAATAGAAAGATGGGTAAGAACTGGACCCTGCTTTGTGAAATTTGTGGTGTTGTAGGAGGAGCTACATCAAGAATTCAGTTTATTACCAGGTAATAAATTAAATTACAGGGCTTCACTGACATAGCACAGAGGTAAACTCTGAGATGTAAGAAGTTTCACACAGAAGGTACAAACCTGGCTTTACACATTTATAAATGAATAGACATTTACCAGGTAGGGGTGAGGCAGCTTCTGGCAGAAGGATGGATAGCATTTGCAAAGGAAGAAGGAATGTGTGGAGAAAAAGACAAGCAGTTTTGTGTCTGAGGGGTAACAATGATCCCAAGGGCCAGAAAGGTCAAGTGGAGTTTGGCCTTGAATCTCCAGATATATTTGGGGAGTCATTGAGAAATGTTCATCCGGAGATATATTTGTATTTTAGATGGCTCAGGCAGCAGGGGTTGTGGGGGCACGGCTGGGGGAGATGGCAGCAGATAGAAGGAACTCATGAAAGATTCCAGGAAAACTGACAGGACTTTGGAAGGGGATATGGAATATGGTGTGTCTGGGTGGCTATTGGGCCTTTCAACCACAATGGGCAATAGCAGTGAAAGAGAAAGCAATTATTTCAGCTTCAACTCAAGTTTGTGCTTCTTGTGGGATCTTCAAGTGGAAATTTTCAACTCCAACTAGATGGTCTGGAGCTTTGGGGGAAGTTGGGGTTGGAGCTACATTAGTGATTGTCAGTAACCAGACAGGGGATGAGAGTGTCCAGTCTTGCTTGTGGTGAAGACCACAATAGGACTAGGGTGGGGGAGGCTGGGTAGAGAAAAGGATCTTGGGAGAAGAAACGTCCCAAGGGCTGAGGGAATCGCGGGAAGAGAGTGGCGTCAGAGAAGAAAGGAAAGAATTCCAAGCTAGTTTGTCAATGGCCAGTCATACCTGGTGCCTCAGAAAGACCAAGTCGAGGGGGAACTGGGTAGTGCCCACTGTTGTGACCTGGACATTCAGGAGGAGCTCAGTCAGACAGCAGTGGGCTGACGGGTAGCCAGTTACAGCTATCACAGAATAGAGTTACAGCATCACAGAATACAGAACACAGGGAAACAAGAAGTCTGAAGAGAAGAGGAAGTTGAAGTGGTTTGAAAGGAGGGTAAAAAGGTGACCAGCAGGAAGGAGCCCCCCGAGCTCAGTGGACCGCGTGAGCAGTGCCTGTACCCCAATCTAAGTGGGTGGCAGGACCAAAGCCCAGTCGAGAGCTTCCTGCCCCCTCCTGGCCATGCTCCCTCTTTTTGGGATCTAGTCAGCCCTTTTCCTTTCTTTGTCCATCATCAGAGCTTATTGTCATTTAATCCCTGATAGGAAATTTAAGGACTAGCCTTTCCCAAAGGAGGATTTGGAAATAGATGGAGTCGCAACTGTGGCCCCTTCTGCTACCATCTCCTCTTCCCCATCTCCCGCCTGACCCAGCCCACCCCAGGCCCTGGCCTTTGCTCTGCCTGTGAATATCTAGGTCAGGGTTTTCCCACAAGTGGAGGGAGTCATCACCCACTTGGAAGAGATCTTCAGCCTTTGTCAGCTCATTGTCGGCCCTGGAGAGGTGGGCCAGTGGGAAGTTAGAGCCAAAGGAGTTGGGAACTGACACATGGGCATCACCCTCCATCTGGGACAGGCATAGGGTTCACTCAGGACTTGGGGGTCCACACACATAGGCGTGAGGCTCAACTGAAGGGCTTCCTACACCTGGGCGAGGCCCACACCTATGGAGTGACCCTCAATTTGACTATAATTGTAAGAACTCAAGTAGGGAGGGGAAGGGGCACGAGAATCAATTTTCTGCTGACCCCTGGGGGTCTTTCTTGTCCGGCCTCCAGTCACTCATTAGCTCACGCAGTCTACCTTCTGACAATCAGAAGCAGTGAGCCAGAATGTGTCCGAAACAGTCCACTGGACCCGCAGCGGACAGCCTAGGCGGGCAGCCACATCCTGATCAGACAATTCAGTCTTGGATGGGTCGGTTGATTTCTCTGAGCCTCTGCTTTCTCATCTGTAAAAGTGGGGTTGGTAATAGCAATCTCATACTGACGTGATTCCATACAGATGCATATATGGAAATGCCCCGCACCGCCTGTTAAATAGAAGGTCCCTGTTTAAATATTTCTTGGCCTGAATGCTTAGGAGAAGAGACCACAACAGCTGTCATTTCCAGGATCTGTGGAATTGATATTTGAGCATGTCAAACCTCAAAAAAAATATTTGTTTTCATTAATCTTCCAAGAACTGGAACAGAACTGTCTCTTTAGTATATTCCTGTGTGCTTTGTCCAGCACTGGCACTCTGCACCAGAATCAGGAACTACTCTTCCACATTCCTTTCAACCAACACAATTGCAAGGCAGCGATTCCCAAGGTAGTAGGATAATTCTTTCTCCCTGGCTCCATTTTTTTCATCTTTTTTTTTTTTTTCCCTTGACAACAAAAAGCTTTTTTCCCTCCAGAGAAGAAGTGACATCAACCTGTCAATGCTAAATTCTGGCAGAAAAGGAGCCACTAAAATGGAAAAAACAAAAAAAAAAAAAAATGGCAACAGCTGGGAATGAGAAGTTGCACAGCAATTATTTGGTTGTGTGTATTTCATAAATACAGGGGACTCGTCCTGCCAGCAGTGATCGTTTTTTCTCTGCAGTCAGTGCTTAATTCTAAATAATTCTGTTTTCACTGCACATGACAAATTGATGGCATCAGTGTCCTGACTGCTCTTTTTGCCACACACTTTGCAATTGCCCTCCCCGAAGAGGTGGGGGTCTGTTAACCCGTCTCTCGCATTAGGAGTTGGCCATGGATTTGCTTGGGCCTTTGGGATGTTGGCAGTCATGATGCAAATAGAAGCTTTAAAAAGTGCTGTGTGTTTCGATGGGTTCTTTGGAAGCCCTGATGTCACCATGGCAACGTGTGGGGGTTAGCCTGCTAGGGGATAGGAGAGACACATGGAGGACAGCAGAGGCATTCAAAGCAAGGCCCTCCTAGCCCAGCTGACCCCAGCTGAGCCGCCAGCAAACCCACCCACTTCACCAGACTCACCTAATGGGTCATAGACATAGAAACAAAAACAAATGCTAAAAGCTGCCACGTTTTGTGGTTGCTGGCTACACACTCATAACTAATGGATACAGTGCATTGGCCTAAAATGTTGGCACCTGGGGGTGACATGTGACTTCTCCAATTGAAATGGTGAGCAAGGACCTGTGTTTGAAGTCTCACAGGTGTCAGAGTCATCCTTCTGGAGAGGTGGTTTTGAAATGTCCGTTCTAGGCAAACCGCCCCTTAATTGCCCCCTAAATGCAGCCTGCACATCCTTGTCTCTGTCCCTTCGTACCTGTCATCCCTCCCTGCTCGGAGTGTCCTTCGCTCTCTTCTCTGCTTGTTGGAATCATTCCAGATCTGCAAGGACATATTTAAAACCGGTCTTTTCGGAATGACTGATGGCTGCCCTATGCCCACGGTGGCCGCTCCAGTCTATTAACTCGTAGGTTATTTCTTGCCTGAGCCATAAATCGGATCCCTAACATGTGCTGCCTAACGGGGCTCCTGCTTCTTATCTATAGTTGTTTATTAAACTAGAACCCAAATTCCTGGTGGGGGAGGGCCTGTGGCCTTTTTATCCCCTCCCAGTCTTGCCCAGTTCCTTGAAAAGGGAAGTGCAGGGCCTTTCACTCATTAATCTTTGGAGGTTGACTGACATTGGGGGCGAGTGATGAGGTGTCATTGATAATCAATAAAACAAAGAAAGAAAAATATATAAATAAATAAAAATAAAATGATTAAAAGGGTCAGAGTTAGAGGCTCCAGACCTGAGTTTGTCAAATGTTACCCTGTACTACTTTCATTCCGGTTAAGAAATTAGTATTATTTAAAATACCTCCTTGTTCCTGAAGAATCGACTGATTTCCCATTCTCAAATTAGACGTTCTGCCCCCTCCCCCAAGTGTCTCTTTACTTGCATTTCTCCAGGAGGGCTCCCCTAATTTACCCCATGTGTCGGCTCGTCTGTCCTACTCGCCGCCACCTGCCACCTCTTCGCCATCGCAAACAGAATGTCCTAAGGTCAGAGGCGACGCTTGTAGCCCAACTGCATCCCTAACACCTGGTAGGTGCTTCCCAGATGGGGGCTCTCTGAGTCCTCGGTGACCCCTTCCTCTGTCTCTCCTTGTCTGAGTTAACGCCCTAAAGCAGGCCCTCCTCGTTGCTCGTGCAGAAAACTGCCAAAGTCTTGTCACTGGCCTTCCTGCTTCTACCCTTGTCTCTCTCCCTCAACTTGCAAGCGGTTAGCCATCCACACATGGAATTTCTTTAAACAGAAAATCCAATCTAAAAAGCCCATCCTCCTGCTTAAAAAACAAAACACCCCTCCCCTGCTCCTCTTTCCTATGGAGTCAAAGACCAGCCTTTGGGTCTGGGGTGTCGGATGGCCACTAGGATCCACCCCCAGGCCGCCTTTATTTACAGCAACCTTCTCCACTTCCCTTGCTCTGACTAGAGAAGGTGGCTGACGCACCATTGCGCACGCCAGACTCCTCCTCCCCAGCTACCTGGTGCTCTTCCTCCCAGTCTCATCTGACCTCCCTGCCCCCACCCCCCTCCGCCAACTTCCCCCAAGGCCTCTTGGGGCCACATCAATTGCTGTGCACGGTATTGCACCGTGATGATCTGAACAAGTGATGTTTTCTGAGAACGAAGACTTGGCTTTGGCATCGCATGCATGCTGAGCCTGCCACGCGCCCTGAGCAGTCCTGCCGCAGGGGGCCTGACAAGGGCACCTGGGTCTGCTGTCACTGTAGCCTGAGGCTCACGGGGTGCTACCGTCCTACCTAGATCTGGGCTTGAGCTAGGGCGCTGATGTCCTCGGTCCCCATCCCCTGTGTGGTCCTGCAGCTACAGTAGCATTCAGGTGAGCTGGGTTTCATGTCAGCTGTCACATGTAGGCACGCCCTGCCATCCTGGGTGTCCAGGCCCCCACTGGGCCAAGGAACATCCACTTCATTGACGGTGATGACAGCAGCTGATAGTCATTGAATCCTACCATGTATCAGACGTTGTCCTAAGTGCTTAAGTGAATGAGTTCATTCAACTCCCATGGCAATGTCAGGCGGGGCAAGCTATTAGTATCTCCATTTTACAGATAGGGGTTACAATAGGTTAATTAACTTTCCTATGATCACACAGATCTATTGAATCTGTTAAAAATAGAATCCGCATGCCAGCCCGGGCAGCTGACTCCCGAAGCCATCCTCACCACCTCATGTGCCCCCAGCCCCGCATCCCCGGGGGTCCGTTCCCTCCTTGTTCGGTCTGTTCTCTCGCAAGACGGAAGGAGAGGCAAGGGTGAAGAGAACATTTTGCACTGATTTTTAAATTCAGGTTACTTAAAAATCCCCTCATGATGACCCATTGATGCACACTTAACTCAGCTTTTCTTAGTTCTCTTTGCATATATTGACCCATGAAGGTAGATCTTTTACACCCAAATGTGAGTGATTAGCAAATAAGTACATAATGCAACCGGTTTTGCTTTTTGCAAGCCACCTCTGTTTTTCAGTGGGCTGCAAACCACACGTTTGCTTCCTCTTAACCTTCCTAGCGAAGGCACCGCGTTCATTACTCAGCGCCTGCCGAGAGTCAGCGACACCAGCAGGAGAGGTCCGTTCTGGCCCACATGGCACTCATCCCACGAGTGGCATCTTTTTTCCTTTTTCTGAGTAAGTGTCTCATTCTGCATGTTCCTCTTGGCGCGGGGCTAGTCACCCCAAGCTGCTGGGTGATGGGTTTTACAGCAAGACCAGGCCACACATCGCGGAGGGTGATGATAATTACTTCTTGATGACGGCTCTGGCTTAGCAAGACACCCTGGGCCCCAGGAGGTGCTCTGCTGATCTCGCTGGCTTTCACATTTGTCTGTGTGCCAGACCTGCCCATGTTGCTGGCCCTGTCCTTATCATCTTGGGCTCGCCCATTCCTGGAGAAAGAAATTCAGCTTCCCCAACTCAGGTTTGTGTGATATTAGAGCTTGGTGAGTCAGGGATGCTTTGGGTGTGGCTCTATGCAAGGAAAATTTATGCAAGCACTTAGTAGTTTTAGCTAAGCTCAGAGAAGATTCTGGACTTCACCTGTGAGCTGAAGTGGTGGCTGATTACTGAGATGGGAGAAGGGGGCAGGAAGGTTCACTTAGCTCTACTGAGGAGCCTATGGGGGAACTTAGCAGGGCCAGGGACATTTAAACATGCTAGAACCAAGTGGAAAGATGAAGGAAGATGAGAGAACAGATGAACCAGCAGTAAATGAACTAACTGGTTCCAGAGTTCCAGAGCAGGTAGCAGGTACTTTTTTATACTATGGCTTCCATCGCAGAATAATTTTTTCAATGCATAAAATAAGAGGCCTGGAATTCTAGGGGAGTGCAATCATTTTGAAATGCAGTTATCAAAACTTTTTAAATGAATAAATTGCTGCTTTATTTACATATTCTATAGCAAAATTGAGAGGTGGACAATTAACCACCAGACTTCAAAGAAGTGATGAGTAGGAACAATATTTCAAGATACCTCCAAGTGTAATGTGATAAGGAAACGGCTGTGGTTTGTTGGCTACCTTCATAACTGAAGGAAATGCTAAATTCCCTTGAAGATCAGTGAGAATAAAAATGAAGTTTTGTTCTTGCTCCCAAGTTCATGGAATCTTTAATCCTCTCTGCGGGTCCAGGTTAAGAACCGCTGCTTTGGAGAGAAGAGACTGAGCTGGTGCAGGGCCTGTGACGGCAGGGGGAACTAAGTGAACTCGCAATCACTGTGACCAGGGCTGTGGTTCATGCATGAAAAGGGTGCAGTGTTCACACAGAGCAGGATAAAATTGAGTTGAGTTGATCGGGGCTCCTGTCTCAAGGGACATGGACTAGTGTGAGGTAAGGAGCAGCTCTGGAGCCCCATGGGTAAGAGGTGGTCAGCATGGAAGGCGCTAGGCTACTGCAGGGAGGGCTTGGCTGCCACATGGGCTCTGTCGGCGCCGATCAGTAGGTAGGCGGGGGAGCCGTGTGGGGCCCCGTGGCTGGCCTGTTCCGTTGACCCTGTTTAGTTTTCTGAGTGTGATTCTCAAGTGTCTGAGCGGTGTTTGAACTGTATTTGGCTTGTGTATAGGGGAAACTGGGCTTGCATTGTGTAATGAGTCAGGTGATTACCAATTCTCTCTCTTGTTCTTTTTTTTTCTTTTTCCATGAGCAGGCTGGAAGGCCCAGGGGGGAAAGAAAGTAGTAACTAGCAGTAACCAAGGCCCAAAAAAAGGGAAGTTAGATGCTTCTCTCTAACCCATTCCAATAGTTACTAAACTAAGCTGTCTATTAATTCTAAATTCTGGCTCATCCATAGCACTCCTTTTGAATAGAACCACGGTTTTTTAAGTGAAGGGCACCCAAATCAGGAAGCAACTTGAAAAAGCTTTGGAAGCCTGGTATTGGCCATTGCAAATAGAGTGGGGGGCAGGGGGAGAAAGAAATTAATGAAACAATGAGCAATTGATCCATTCCTTTGTTTGTAATCTTTGTCCTAATTACTTTTTAAAAAATAAATGTAAAACCTGATTCATCCTGTTAGGATGTGGTGCTGGAAGAGGTTAAAGGTCAGGTGTAAACATGTGGGTTAAACAGTTCCTTAGCTTTGCCTGCTTGACCTTTCACCCCTCACCCCGATGAGCTGTCCTACAAATAAGCCATTCACCTGAGAGGATCCTGGGGAGGGTCGTGATCTTCCTGAGACTGTTTTCATGGGAAAAAAAAAAAAAGATTCCACTGAATTTTGGGTGGAAGTTCTCTTGGCCTCCAAGCATGTAGGGGTCTGGTAGGTGGAAAGAAAGAGAAGTTGCTTGTTGTATTTGATGCCCCCAGGTAGGGTTCGTACAGGTGCCATCATTTGAAATTGCTGTTTCCGTGTACCAAATGGTGGGATAATAGTGACAGGTGGCAATCCTGGAGAGCTTATTTAAAGGCGGCCCCATCGGGGAATTCTTCGTGTGTCAAATGTGTGAGTCCCTTGCAATATGTCAAGGGCAGACTCTGGGCCCAGCTGTCCACAAGAACCTGCACTGCTGTGCAGAGGAGCCGATCCCTCCTTCCATCAAGAGAGAAGACCATAGGGGTCTTCAGCTCCTCAGCTGTCCTAACATACCCACAGCAGCTGCATTGAAAACAAGGCTTGAGTGTGACCCTCAGAGCCCTGGAACTGACCTCAACCCCTACAGAAGCTCCAAATACTATTTTCTTTTACTTTTCTGAGAAAGCTGCCCCGTGATCCTGTTCTTGCCTTCATGCCTCTGCTGCGACCTCACTCCACACGTCATCCTCTCTTGCTTCATCCATTTCTACCCTCTGGTATTCTTCTGCCATAAACAGGCACCAACACCCAGGCCCTCCCGACCCTGCCTGCTACTCCCCACACATGTGTGCTTTCTAGCTGTCATTTTATTTTCTCTTCTTTCTCAGGAAACTTCTCGAAGTTTATACTTTCTGCAGTCACTTCTTGCCCTTGAGAACTGCGGCTTCTGCTCCACTGAAATCTCTTTCACAGAGGCCTCCACTGACCTCCTCATTCAGACTGAAAGGGTTTTCCTGTAGAGTCTGCCTCTCGGCAGCATTTGGCAGTGCTGGGGAGTCCTCTCCTCTGGAAACATTTTGCCTCCTTTGGTTGCTAAGCTGATGTGTCCTGCCTGCCCTCCCACCTCGATGACTCTTCCTTCTTTCATTTTCTTTTTAAAGATTTGTTTATTTATGCATACAAGAGCTGGGGTGCAGGCTAGAGATGGGAGGGGTGAGAGGATTCACCAGAGACAGAGTGGGGAACAGAACAGGAGGATCTACTGAAATACCCTGCTGAGGGGAGCAGCAGGCGAGACAGGAGAGGTCTGCTGTGCCATGTGGGTAGCTCCCGGCCAGGGTTTGAACTTGTGCTGCAGTGGCTGCAGATAGCTTCATAGTGCTGAAACTTAACCACTTGTGCCACCAGGGAGGCCCTGACTCTTCCTTCTGTGGGTTTTGTTTTTCCCCCTACTCCCTAGTTCAGACAGGCATTCATAGGAGGCAGTGAGAACAATGGGACTGGACTTTGGGATGCGACATTCAAGTCTCACTCAACATTTACAAGATCTGACATTGCTAAATGCAGGAATATTAGAGTTCCAAAAAGGATGAGATTACACATATTTTATGATTTCCAAATATTTGCTGGAGATCCTTCTAATTTATTCCATGATGCTCAAATTTAGTATTCCCAATCTATATGCCATTCTTTGTCTTTCCCCTCACCCCTTAACTTGCAACTGTTAATCTTCCTGGTAGCCTTATTTCGGCCACCCAGTTGCAATAAATCTCCTATCACCCTCTTTGATCTTCCCGCCTTCCATTCCTCCTCCACTCCTCCTCACTGCAAGCAGCCAGCACTGAAGCACTTCACAGATTTTATCTCTACGGCGACTCTTAAATTATCATCCCTCTTTCCCTCTCCTGTAGTCTTCATCATGCTACCCTGGACTTGGTAATCACTGAATGTCAATTTCTAGCTTCCATCATCTGACACACAGCTGTCAAGATAATTTTCATGCGATCTTTCAAATATTTTCAGTGGGTTCCCGTTGTCTGATTATCAAGTCCAAACTTCCAAACATGATAGTCAGGTCCTTTGTGTTCCAGATCAAAATTTCTACCCAGTCTTGTCTCCTTCTTCTAGTCTTCATGAACCCTCCCCCAATCCAGCTGACTTCTCCTGTTTCCCAAGCCTTTTGATCCCCACTTACACAATTGTTTTATGAAGTTTCCTTTACCTGAAAGGTCTTGTTTCCCCAAGTCAGTTGTCATAATCTTTCCAATTCTCCAAAGTCCATTTTTAATATGATCTTTCCCACCAGCCTTACTTATCTCCCTTCTCCCAAAATGTAATCTCTCCTTCCTACAAATTCCTTGAAGCACTTTTCTCATAGAGAGATGACTACTATCCTACTTGACTAAATTGCAACATCTAGAAGTTAGAGACTATTCCAACTCATCTTTATATCTGAAGCATCAGAAATATACTGAAAGTATATCTTTATACCCCTGAAGCATCAGAAATATACTGAAAGTGGTCAAATAAATATTTACTGAATTGACAAATAAAGCAAGAGAAAAAGAAGTGTCAGTTTTCAAAATAATATGTTTCCAATGTGAAGCCATGTCTCTTAAAATTCATAGAAAATGTTCAAGAAGTGTTGCCTAGCCACAAAAATAATATTGTGGAACAGGTTCTTATACCTCAGACACCCTATTTTTTTTTTAAAAAAATTACTGCAAAATGTAACACATAGAAATTACTTAACACGCAGGTACAAAGTAAAAACCATGTAATCACTACCCAAGTCAAGACTGAATCTTGTTAAGCTCCTAAAAGCACCCACCCACCACCCACCCTGCAAGTGCGCATCCAGATCACAACCTACACACACAATCACTTTCATTACTGCCACTTTTCTGCTTTTCTTTTTTTAATGGCTTTACCGCTAAACAATACAGTGTGATTTGATGTTTTTATCCTTGAATAGAATCATTCTGTAGATGATAAAAGAGATTCCAAAGTGGTTTTGCATCTTTCCTTAAACACCATCATCTACATTATTGCAACCAGTTGCAATTCATCCACTTTCATTTCTGTAGAATTTTCCATTTTATGAATGAACCTCAGTTTATCTATCCTACTGATGAAGGGTGTATGGTGGGATGTGGTGAACAGTGAGGCTGTGGATATTCTTTCTCTAACCTTAGAGAAACAGACACTCCTCTGAGATGTGTGTCTAAGACTGGCTGGCATTGCTGAAAATGCTTTAAATTGTCTCTGTAGTATAATTTTTTTCAAGTAATAATTTAAAGTTTTCTCAGATGTTCTAACCTCTAGGTACCTATTACAAAGAGAACATAATATAAATATGTCACATAAACTGGGATTTATGAATAAATTAGTGTATTTTAAATCAGCACTGGAGTGTGTGTGTGTTGGTAGATTGGTTGAAAGTTTATTTTCCAGTTTTGCATCGAGTATACACAGATACTCAAAATTTTAATTTATTCATATTTTTAGGTTACACTTATTTTTTCTGCTCATTTTCTGTAGTTCCCTCCCATCAGAATTATTTTAATTTCCTTTACTCTTTGTCCTGTGGATTCACAAAATGTAGCAAGTGTCCTGCTCCCCCACATCTCCTGTGCACCCCCATTGTGTCCATTCCATGGTTGCCCCCTTCACCGGCCCCAGGCCCCACTGAATGACCCAGCTCACCTTGGAGGCATATTTGCCATTTGCCCTTTGTTCCTTCCGTGACAAAATAAACTCGCCTTTATTAAAATGATACGTAAGCACATACTCTTTTTTTCTTTTTACATTTTAAAAATGTAGAAAAAGGAGAAACGAGAGGCAGCTGCATAGTCACAGGTGGGCAGGAGAGCTGCCCACATACATTTTGCTTCTGCAAATGCTTGATTTTGAAAATGTGTGAGAGTCATTATCATTGAATAATGTTTTCTCCTTTAAACGCAATATTTGAGATTTGTCCAATGGGAAACATGCCCTAGTGGTCTCACTGAAAACTCAGTAAGTGAAGAACTAAATAAATCATCCCAGATCCTACTGGACTTGAAGGTCTTCTTTATGAAGCTTTCCTATAAAGATGAAGGGGCTCTGTAAAAAAATCACAAAGCAGTGGCTGCCCTGTTTTGCGGTGCAAGGGGTTAAGACACGGCACTATGAAGCTGTCCACAGGCACTGCAACATGAGTTTGAGCCCCGGCCAGGGAGCTACCCACATGGCGCAGCAGACCTCTCCTGTCTCGCCCACTGCCCCCCTCAGCAGTGTCTTTCAGTCAATGTCTTTCAGTGTCTTCTGCCTGTTCTGCTCCCCACTCTGTCTCTGGTGAATCCTTTCAACCCCACACCTCTGGCCTGTGCCTCAGTTCTTGTATGCATAAATAAATAAATCTTTTTAAAAAAAATCACAAAACAAACAAACAAACAAAAAACTTTCCTGATAAAGAATGGAAATGCGCCGCCTCTTCAAATGTTAATTTTAGCTGGTCTTGCTTGAGACCTGGCCAGCTGCTACAAATAGTTCCAACCCACCAGAAAGAATGAGTGGCACTGGGGGCGGTGGCTCAGACTTTGCTCTGCAACACTCAGGTTGCAGCTACCCAGGCAGCTGAGGCTTGAGGATGTAGATGCTGGATCTTCCTAGAAAATAATGCAAAAGGTAAATTACCATACATTGGATTTACTTTAAAATAAATACATTGAAATGTCTTATTGAAGTGGCTGTGTTACACTGATGAAGCAACACTTTTTTTAAGAGTCTAGAGATTACTATGGAAGTTAAAGTTATAAAAGAACAATTAACTCATCAAGTCATTTCACTACTCAGCCTGAAGAAGGTGTTGAGTATTTGAGTTGATTATAGCTAATAACCTACGATCTCATTTACCAGAATTGGAATACAGGGAGCTACATCCTGTGGTACATTGGGCACTGGAGCACTAATCTATTTTTATTCCCCTGTCTTTCTCCTACTTGCAAGCTAAGCTCAGCATTGGCCAGAGACAAGTAACAGTTCAGAAAGGACCGCTGTATCGAGCTGAAGGTTACCCCATCAGCATTGGCTGCCAGGTAACAGGCTACAAGGGACCTTCAGAGCAGCAATTCCAGTGGTCTGTTTACCTGCCCGAATCCCCCAACCAGGAAATTCAGATCATTAGCACCTCGGATGAAACCTTCACTTATGCAAAGTATGGGCAAAGGGTTCGAAATAAGGAAATCTACGTGGAGAGGCTCCTGGGCAACTCAGTCTTGTTGCATATCTCAAAGTCGCTGTTGACGGATTCTGGCGAGTATGAGTGTCACACACCGAACACTGATGGCAAGTTCTTCGGGAATTATCATGCGAAGACCACTCTGATCGGTAAGCAGTCTGCCCTCCTCTGCCAGCCAGCACCTCCCCACCACTGAGGCCTGCATCCCCGCCACCCGGGTTCCTGGCCATGCCACTTGGCTTTCTACTGTTCTGGTTGCTTTGGCAAAAAAGCCCAAATATGCTTCTGGATATTTTGGAGATTTGTCACAAACACAGTATCTCATATTCTCTAAAATTCTCAGTTCATGTTTCCAACCAACTTTGCCACGAAGATTTAGGTAGTGTGTGGTCTTTCCAGGCCGGATCCACTGCTATCCATCAGCTGATTATAGCAACAGCATTAGGCAAAGCTTTGAGACCTCTCCCCATGCAACGTCCCTCCTTGGAGGCAGAAAATTTACTTAAGAGAACTGGTGATGTATATACAATAAACGATAATCACAAAACTTGGACATGATTGTTCTCAAACTATGATTCTTTAGCCTGTTTACCTGTGGGGAGAGGGTCATAGTCATAGCAACTATAATTTTGTCCCATTTCCTAGGATATCCATCCCCCTTTATTCAGCCTAGCAAGCTCCTACATATACTTCAAGACCCCGTTTAAAAAGCACCTCTTGGGTGAGACCTGTGCTGATGGTCTGGGCAGCATTCCCATCTTTGTTCTTTCTCAATGCTCTATTCACACCACTATTACGAGCATTCACCCAGTATATGCGGCAATTGGCTGCTTAGATGGCTCTCTCATCCATGAGAGTAGAACATTTATCTCAGCCTCTAACACAATGGCTAGCACTAAGTAGATGCTCAGTAGACAACCACTGATTAAATCTAAATGTAGGAGAGTGGGATCTAAGCGTAAGACAGAGTGATAGTGTAGGATAATGGGTATTAGAACTTTGGTAAGAGTTTTGGCTCCTAATGATGGATTATAGCAGATTATTATAGAACTATGTTTTATAAAGGAGCAGGTGAAGTTCCAGGGAAATGAAGTGAGATGTTCCAGGTCACTGAATCAAGTAGGGACAGATTTAGTATCAGAATGTAGGTCCCCTAAGCCCCAGGGACTTTTCCCCTTTAAATACTCTGTAGCTGAGAAGCTAAATTGGTTTCAGCCTATACTACAAAAAGCAACATCAGGGTGGATGTATCCTGATATAACTGATATATCCATGAGCTTTCCAAGCTCCATAGACTGTATGTATGTTTGTATGCATTTGACGATGTTACCCTTGGCAATAGGGCAAGCAAATGGGTAGGAAAGGTGACAGCTAGTGGAAAACCATCTCAAAGGACATGCTTTACAGATCAAGGGGCTGGCACCATCTGCCCTTAGGAGACTGGCCTGACAGGTCCATGACTACTCAAATACATCTTTCCTTTGCTTCCAGTGATTCCAGATACCCTCTCTGCTACCATGGGACCCCAGACTCTCAGTAAAAAGGAAGGTGAACCATTAGAACTCACCTGCGAGGCATCCAAAGCCACAACTCAGCATACTCACCTCTCTGTCACCTGGTACCTGGTGCAGGACGAAGAACAAAGCCAAGCCACCAAGATTATTTCTCTCTCCAGAGAGTTCACATTGGAGCCCGGGCCTTTGTATGCAAACAGGTTTGCAGCTGGCCATGTGGGGCTTGACAAACTTGGGGAAACCACCTATAGGTTGTCCATAGAGAGGCTCCTGCCCTCCGATCAGGGCCAGCTGTTCTGTGAGGCAAGTGAATGGATTCAGGACCCGGATAAGAACTGGACTCCCATCACGAGAACGCAGACAAATCAAGTGACCCTGGGAATCCAGCCCGCAGGTAATTCTCGTCTCTGCAAATTCCCTCATTCGCTGGTGGCAGGCATTAAGAGGTATCTCTTTTAAAACATGGAAATTTTATTAATGACTGTATTCCCAAGGCAAAAAAAAAATCAATAGAAATATAAACAAAGGATATGAACATGCAATTCGCAGAAAAGGAAGCCTGCTAAGACAATAAATTTTTTAAAATATGAATGGTATGAAAAATGTTAAACTTCATCCTGATGAGAAAGTTAAAATCCATAAGAATGTAAAAAAAAAAAAAAAGGAAAGTTAGAGAACAGGAAGTTGGCAAGGTTGTGGGGGTTTTTTTTTTTTAAGATTTATTTATTCATGCATACAAGAACCGGGATACAGGCCAGAGATGCGGGGGGTGAGAGGATTCACAAGAGACAGAGTGGGGAGCAGAACAGGCAGATTGACTGAAGTACACTGCTGAGGGGAGCAGCGGGTGAGAGAGGAAAGGTCTGCCATGCCATGTGGGTATCTCGCCAGCAGACTGGGATCAAACCCGCACTGCAGAGGCTGAAGACAGCTTCACTGCATGGCGCTCAACTGCCTGCACCACCAGGGGAGGCCCCGGTTGTGGGATTTTGATAGTCTCGTCCTCTGGTACAAACATAACCACCTCGGTCATTTTGGAAAATAAGCTGATAGGATTTAGTGCTCTTATGGCTCTTATGTATTCTCACGCTCAGTGACTCGGAATATCTGTAATTTCTTTCTCTTTTTTTTTAGGTAGATTACATTTATTATTTTTTGGTGTATTTTATTTTTAGTTCTAGATTTTATTTAGATTGTAAGTAAACTTTTTTCTAAATTTCTTTTTTTATTGAGATAACATTAAATGGGATATCTTTTTTTCCTGAGATTTCATTGGCTGCAAAAAATGGCTTAGGAAATTTAAAAAATTTGGGTTTTGCAATGTGGGAGTATCACTGAGAAGAACATTCAGTTGACTCCAAGAATAAGATGTGTTGATGGTTGGCCGGATTACACAAGCTATGTGTGCACATAGTTTCATGACCATTCTTGCCAAGCTCTGTGTAAACACCTTATCTGTGCTACCTAATTTAGTCCTAACCCTCTGAAGCAAGGAATTGACGCCCCATTTTTAATACAACCACCAGCCCTTAGACTTGCTGGACTGGCCCAGCTGGCGGGGGAGGAGGGGGACGGGGGTGCATGTGAAGACAGGTGTACCTCTCTGAGGTCCACGCAGCACAGGCACCCAGGCCCCAGAGCAGCTCCAGTTTCCATTGTGAGGTTTTGTCTTTGTCGGTGCTGGCATTTCCTTCCACCTGAGCCCTTTCCTGATTTGGAATGGTGTCATTCTTCATGAGGCCCTGGAATGCTCATCAAAGCAAACAGAAAGGCTCAGCTGTGATTTTTGGTCTTTCTACAAAGGCTTTGGTCCAATAGGAAGATGTCACTAAAATCATACATAACCAGTGATCATGCATGAGAGCGACATTCTCTTCCACCATAATTGTCCTGCTGGCATCGTGACCAAATTTCCCTGAGTTCTGAGGGAACACATGACCTGTGCTTTTTTTAACCTGTGCTTTATTATTTTGTCTTTAAAATTTTTGGGGGGGCATGTGAAGCAGACTTTTTATTTTTTTACAAAAAAATTGTGTATATTTAAGTGTACGGCATATTTTATGCTGTACATATTATATGATTACTACAATCAAGACAATCAGCATACCTATCACCTTGCTTGGTTACTATGTGTGTGCATGTGTGTGCGTGTGTGTGTGTGTATGTTGAGAACACTTACAATCTACCTCAGCAAATTTCAAGTAGTATTAACAATGCTGTAACTGTGCTTTATATTTCATTTCTAGAACTTACTCCTGCATAATTGAAATGTAGAACACTTTGATCGATATCATTTCCCCCCAGTCCCTAGTAACAAGCATTCTACTCATGTTTCTATGAGCTCAACATTTTTAGATTCCACAAGTGAGTGAAATCCTCCAGTACTTGTCTTTCTATGTCTGGTTTATTTCAATTAGCATAATGTCCTGCAAGTTCATTCATATTATTGAAAATGGAAGGATTTCCTTCCTTTTCATTGCTGAATAATATTCCTCAGTGTGTGTATGTGTGTGTGTGTGTGTGTAAGAGAGAGAGAGAGAGAGAGAGAGATTTTTTATCTGTTCATCAATCACGGGACACTTAGGTTATTTTCATATCTTAACTATTATAAATAATGCTACAGTGAACTCAGGATATATCCGTCAAGATACTGATGCATTTCCATTGGGAACATACCCAGTGGAATTGCTGGAACATATGGTGGTAGTTCTACTTCTGATTTTTTAAGGAGTCTCCCTACTATTTACCACAATTCAAGAGTATAAAATATTTTTATTTTAAAAAGAGATACACTGTATACTTTGTATATCTATGCACACTTAGCAGGATTGCACTCAGAAAGCTATGCGTTGATACACAGTCTTTTCTGGATGATACAAAGAACAGTCAAGGGCATTTTTGATTCTGGGCACTTCTTTGGCTTACCCACTCCTTTTTTTCAAAAGATTTATTCATTTATACATACAAGAACTGAGGTACAGGCCAGAGGTGTGGGGGGTGAGAGGATTCACCAGAGAGGAGTCGGGAACAGAACAGGCGGATCTACTGAAACACACTGCTGAGGCGAGCAGCGGGCGAGGCAGGAGAGGTCTGCTGCACCATGTGGGTTGCTCCCTGGCGTGGGATCGAACACATGCTGTAGTGGCTGGCGGTTGCTTAATAGCGCTGTCTTTAACCCCTGCACAACCAGGGAGGCTCCTGGCTTACCCACTTTCTCAGAACTGAGTTTCCACATGAATTCAGTCCCTATGCTGTCCTTGCCAGAGGTAGCATCTGTCTCTAATATTGAAAGGACAGATGCAGTGACTCTCTAAACACCTGCCTTGCTTTTGTTTCCTAGAGAGAGATTTTCAAGTGCGCATTAAGGCCGAGAGCACCTTTACTGAAGGCAAATCCTTAGAACTGCTTTGCCTGGTAGAGGGCAGTAGCTGGAACCCACAGCTTCAGGGCATTTGGTTCTTCAATAGTGATGAAATTGCCCGCATCGATGCCAGTGGAGTTCAGCGCTTGAACAAAGACTACAACAAGAGAGCAAGCCAAGGACTACTCCAGGTTTCAAAGTTAGGCCCCACGAATTTCTCACTCAACATCTTCTCTGCGGGTCCGGAGGATGAAGGTACCTACAGATGTGAAGTGTCAGAGATGGAGAGAACTCAGGTGGGTTCCTGGCAAGTGCTCCAGCAAAAGAAGTCACAGGACCATCGAGTGCACCTGAGGAAACCAACAGGTATGTGACATGGAGACCAGAAGCAATTGGGTGGCTTTAGGATGCCCTTCTTTGTTAGCACAGGTGCCTTCTTGGACAGTGGAGGCCTACAGAAGAGTTGGGTGTCAATCAGCACCCTGGAGGTGAAGAGAAGCAAACCCAGAACTAACTGAACACCTGAATCTTTCTTGAGCCATTAAATGGGTTGTGACAATGAACATAGCACTTTACTTCTCTAAATCTCATCTTCCTCAACTGTCAAATAATGACATAAAATTAGATTGATCTCAACAAATGTATTACTGTCTTAGAGTATCTATTTGCTGTTGGGCTTAATTTTTTTTTAAGATTTTTTTTTTTTTTTTTTGGCATAGAAGAACTGGGGTATAGACCAGAGGTACAGGAGGTAAGAGGATTCACCCGAGACAGAATGGGGAGCAAACCAGCAGCTCTACTGAAATACACTGCTGAGGGGAGCAGCAGGCAAGACAGGAGAGATCTGCTGCGCCATATGCGGGTCAGCTCCCTGGCCGGGGATGGGACTCAGACCATAGAAGTGATAGTGCTGAGACTTAATCCCTAGGCACCAGGGAGGCCCAGTCCTAATTTCTATACATTGGGTTTTTCTTCAAGCAGAGAATGCCATCCTTTGTTGTGTGTATGACGTGAACACATTAAGAGGCAGGAGCTACACTTTGCCCCTTCTCTGGGGAATAAACACCCACATGAGTACTCCCACACCTCTAACATCTTTCAATTGCTTTTTGTCAATCCTCTATCGTCTTAACCTGCTATCGGAATGAAACTCATTCTTAGTTCTTCATCAAAGTATGAGTCAGAGGAAGAAATGACAAGGTAAATGACAGTGGGCACCCCATTTCCTGCAGCCTGCTATGGTGTGGTGAGATGTCTGCGCAAACCAGCCTGAGGTTTCGTAGGTGTCAAAGGAGGAAGGCCTTCCAGCTCTTGCTTGGTTTATGCAAGCCAGTGGGTTCCTGCACGCATGTTTGAATAATCCCTGCTTTTGTGTGCAGAGAAAACAAACAAATCTGCAACTAATATCAGGATCCTCTGGGCTAGGTGTTAAATTCAAAACACAGAAAGATTAATTTCCCAAAAGCAAACACAAAATAAACAAAAACTACAGCTATTCGGTTGCACTTGTTCATCTGAGGCCTCCCCAAAGGGTGATACATTTCACTTTCTTGTTCTTCTCCACTGTCGCATTTGCTAAGAATGAAGATGATCAAGCTTTGGCCTATGTGGCAAGCCAGGAAGTGTGTTGTGTTAGTTTTCACACTAAACATTTGCTCTAACTTTCTAGGATTCAGGAAAAACTATGTAGGCGGGTTTACATATTTACATAGAGCTAAATCTCTGCTCCACGCATCTCAATCTCCCTGGCATCTATCCGCATCCTTGCTTAAGTCCATATGTGGGCACCTGTACTAAAAAGACCTAAAAGTGTGCTTTCTGGCATGCAGTTCATGAGCCTATCAATCGGGTGGGCTTCCACAATTAAAAGTAGTTCTTCATGTGGGCTGGAGACCCCGCTGGGCCTAAGATGTAGAAACATAAAACACTTTTAGTAAATTTAAGGATCCTGCTGGGTCTTTGGTTTTGAAACCAATGCTTGAAGGATGAACAGGGGCCTATCATTCCATGGCTATTTTAAACAGAAGAGGTACTCACTGTCACCGTGAAGGCGTAACTTCCACACGCTTAGTAAGTTTATCATTTCTTATTTATTTATTTATACAAGAGCTGGGCTACAGGCCAGATGCGCGGGAGGGTGAGAGGATTCACCAGAGACAGAGTGGGGAACAGAACAGGCAGACTGACAAAATACACTGCTGAGGGGAGCAGCGGGCAAGACAGGAGAGGTCTGCTCGCCATGTGGGATTCTTGCCGGCCGGCAGGGAACAAACCCGCACTGAAGAGGCTGCGGACAGCTTCACAGCACTGCGCTCAACCCACTGCGCCACCAGGGAGGCCCAAGTTTATCATTTCTTATCAAGAGGAAATAACCACAATGATGTAAAAAGTAAATTTACAAAAAGGAAAAAAAAAGAGGCAGTAACCACCACAAATGAACTCTGGGGGAAAGAAGCTGATGTTTGTGGAAACTAATCATAATGATTATATTGGAGTGGTGAGATTATGAGTAATAATTTCCCCTCTGATTTCTGAACTTCAGTTATGAGCTTATTTTGAATGTAAAAAACATATGTATAATCATGCCTCAACTGCCCCAAATTTGGAAGCAGTCCTGTATGTGTGTGTGTGTGTATCTTTTTATCTATTTGTGGACATTAATGTTCATTATACCTTTGTACCTTACATACCTGTACAAATAGAACAGTAGAAGACTAAGCTCCTTCCTCAGCAGGGAAGAACAATTTGCAAGCTCATTTAGATCCTATTTGGATTTCCTGTTCTGTTTTGTTTTTCTCTTTTGGCTCTGCCTTCCCTCTGCTTTCACTAAGTGCCTGTCAATAGCTCCCCTTTGCCGGACACTTACCCTTACCAGCCATGTTAAACCTTTTGTATTTTATCCTTTCAACAATGCTTTAATGGGGATGCTGTCATTATCCTCATATTTACAAGAAAGAAAATTGAAGCTCAGAGAGGTCATCTGTGTCCCCTAGTTAATTCTGCTTCCAGGGCCCTTGACTTTAAGTATGATGCTGGGTTGTGCAGAATATACATACTCCTGAGATATCTTTGCATTTCCTGCAAAGCATTACCTGCAAAGTCCTCACACAGGGGATGTTTGTTGAATGAATGTCTGCATTGCTATACATCTTGAATTTCCCATCTGGGAACCAGACTTACATTTATAGTTTTACATTGTAGTTCAGACATAAAAAGGCTCTTCCTTCAACCAACAACATACATATATATATTTATATTTATATATATTTATACATATTTATTTATATGTATCCATATGTGTGTATATACCAATGTATTTCCTCCCGAGTAATTATTTTTAATAGTACTGTTGTACCATAAAGAGATCTAATTAACAATGCTCCTTCCTGGTTCAAAATGCATACTAATTAGGGGAAAATAAGTAGAGAGAAGAAGGTCATTTTGAACTGTGAAAGTCTGAATTGCAGAAAACTAAAAATTTAAATAAATATAGCTTCATTGCTTCCAGGCTCATACACCCACCTAATTAATCTAGCAAAATATTACCAGATGTTTTCCCAACTAGATGTTCTTAAGAAAGGGCCAATTTAACAAATTGCTAAAAATAAGGATAAATTATAAATTAAGTGTAAATAGGTTCTCCTGCTATTCTTTCTGCTGTCTTATTTTCACTATTTAAGTGTTCAGCAAATCATTTTTCGGGGGATGGTGCAGGAGTAAACAGCCAGATCTGATTTGTCAAACACTAGTCAAGTCCTAATTATGAGCTTTCACGGTATTTTAGAAAAGGTCTTATTTACTGGAAATACTCTCTTCTACAATCTGCAGCTAGAAGTGTGGTGGTGTCTACTAAGAACAAGCGGCAAGCAGTGTGGGAAGGAGAGCCACTTGCCCTTCTCTGCCAGGTGGAGGGACCTGAGAGTGTCCTGTCTGTGAGCTGGCTGCATGCCCCACAGGGCCAGGCACATTCAGACTTAGTGGCCCACATGGGACAGGATGGCACCGTGAAGCTGGGACCCAACAACCGTGCCAACACGAGGCTGGAGAAAAGGGACTGGGCCACCTTCCAGCTGGACATCAGCTCCACCACTGTCTCAGATGGTGGCCTGTACGAGTGCAGGGTGTCTGAGAGAACCTGGACACAGGCCCAAGATCTGGGCTGGTCTGGGATGATGTCAGTCACTGTCAACTCTCTGGGTAAGTATCAAAGCCCCTTTCCTACACTTGCACCTTCCTTTGCTGTGGAATAGAGTGGGATATCATCGTGTGTCCTCCTGAATAGCCAGGACACAGGGCACATAGTCTCTGGCTTTCAAGTCTGTCAGTTAATCTGTAAAGTTTACTCATCTTTATAAAGCTTCAGAGATGTAAGTTGTTCAAGGTTAAAATCAAAGTCCTATGAGTCAGAGTCGACTTACAGAAGAGAGAGGCTGAGTGTAGCTGGGCCTTGTACTTGGGCTTTGACAGCTGCAGCCCGGAACTGCAAGCCTTGTCTAGTGTGTACAGAAGAGCCATGGTGCGCTCAGAGTGGGGTATGGAAGGAGGCCTCACTGGGGCTGGGGAGCGCCCCACCCACTCAATCGCAGCTGTCTAAACAGCTGACTGAGAAACATCGGTTATTGTCGCTGCTGAGAGCAGTCTTAGAAGAGGGTCAGCTTTGGAAAATTGAGGTCAGAATTCAATAGACTACTGTGAATCAACTTTACCCCCAAATATAAGCTCCCCTCAATGGATGGAGCCATAGCTCAGTGTGAAGAGGGGGGTGACTGGGGAAATTTACAAGTACTGTCCTTTGATTTGGTAAACATATCAAAAGTTCTGTTTTGCATTTCTGCCTGCAGGCTCAAGTTTGCAAGTTAACCTGATTAGCCGTCAACCACAAGTGCAGCTAGCCAATACCTTTGACCTGTCCTGTTTGGTGAAGGCCGACTACTCTGACCTCCAGGTACTACTAACCATGACCTGGGAGTTCCGGCCAACTGGATCTCAAGTCTCTCACCAGTTTCTTCGAATCACCCACGATGGCATTATTGAATGGGGCGATTCCCTACCCCAGTTCCAAAGGAAGACAAAGGTTTCACAGTCTCCATTTCGTTCTCAACTCCTGATCCATTATGCCACCGAGAAAGAGGCAGGACTGTATCAGTGCAAGGTCCAAGTTTATGACAAAAATTCCCTGCACACAAAGGGCCCAGAGAGGGCCTCTGCCACCTCCCACCCCTTGAAAATAGCCGTCACATTGCCAGGTAAGCTTGAAATTAACCCCTGCCTTTTATTTCTTTTAAATATTCCTCCTGTTTTGGGTGAGTTATAGAGTGAAAGCCTAAAATACCTCTTCCTATGCCTATACTACACAAGCATGACATATAAGTGACATCCAGGCTGACATGACAGGAGGATGCTCTATGGCGGCTGCTCAGTCATTGAAATAGTTCCCTGCTGTTGCTCCCTGTCTCCCGCTTCTTCCCAAAGTCCCCACCACCCAGCAGCCATAGGGCCCCAGGCGCACAGCAGACGCCCCTAAGACCAGCCCCAGGGCTCACTCTGATAGTGAACACACAAACAAAACATAATTAGGGCACATTTTCTACCACTGATTTATGAAATGCTACAGAAAAGATGTCTGTGCTTAAGCCCTGAAGCACCATCATGTGGAGGAGAGTGGGGGTTCCTATAACATGGTCCTCAACTCGCTCTCCCCCGCCCACCCCCACCTCCAGGCAAGAATAGAACTGGAATGGTGGAAGGAAGCCACGGAGAGATGATATCCGACTTAATACCACAGAGAATTCTCCGGTGGCAGAGCCGCCCGAGGTGGAACAGGCTGCTTAGTCAGAGAGTGAGCAGTTCCAAGGCTGAATGAGTGACGGGCACTGCCGGGGAGGGCGTTGACATCCGGGGGTGTGGGCGGCATTGGCCTCCTTGACCTAATGACCTCTCCACCGTAAAATTCCATTGTCTAGCAAAGAAAGAGAAGTAACTTTCTGTTCTTTTCATTTAGAGAGCAAACTCAAAGTAAACTCAAGCAGTCAAGTTCAGGAGCTCTTCATCAACTCCAACACCGTCATAGAATGCGGCATCTTGTCCCAGTCCACTGGAAACCTTCATTTAGCCATTACTTGGTACTTTTCTCCTGTTTCCACTAATGCAACCTGGCTGAGGCTCCTGGAAATGGACCAGACCAATGTTGTCAAAGATGAGGATGAATTTCACAATCCGCGGAGAAAACAAAAATTCCACACCAAGAAAGTTTCCCAAGACCTGTTTCAGCTACACATTCTGAGCGTGGAAGATGGCGACCAGGGCAAATACCGCTGTGCCGTGGGGGAGTGGCTCTTATCTACAGATGGCACTTGGCATAAGCTTGGAGAAAAAATGTCAGGCCTAACAGAATTGAGACTCAGGCCCACAGGTAAACCCCGTGAATGTGTTCTCACGAGTCTTTCTGTGGGATTTCCCTATGCTCTTGGGCAGCCGTTCCACAGAGTGATTACGGGAAGGTACAGATGTGAGCTAGAGTCCCGGGGGATGGTGTCCACCTACTCCATGGCTGCAGGGCCTGAAGGCTCCCCAGAAGAGGCGGGGTCACTTCAGGTGAAGCAATGGAGGTTTTGCAGAGCTCGGTGGGAACAAGATCCCTCAGACTGGCTTGCTCACCAGCCCGGCCGCCTGGCCTGTGCAGGGCACCATCTCCCCGCCTCTGTAATAACACGCTGTGTCATTCCGGCGGGACTCTGCTGTAATTTGGCAGGGAAAGAGTAATACGAAGCATATTTCTCCCACTGTGAACAGAAACTGTACAACTCTATAGGGATGTGTGGAGAAATTGCTTTCCAACATTTGACTGCCTAAACATAAGGCAAATAAGAGTAGTTAACTGTTGGAATGGCTTACTGAGGGAATCTCTCTTCCTCAGGAGATGTGTAAAAAGGCAATAGAAGTCCCATCCATTTGCTTTGGTCTGAGCGAGCTGCGGGCTGAATGTGGGCAGGGTTGATTAGATCCCTTAGCATTCGTTTGGTCACCGCCAGTGTTGATTAAAATTAAATGAATGTCACAGTGAAGGTCTGGGAACTGGCTGAGACCCAAACGCGCAATGCGAAGAACTAAATCGAGTTTGGCGCTTAAAATCCTATTTTCAATGGAACATCAAAAAAGATTATAATGATCATCACTATGGGTTGGGCAATTAGGAAAACAAAGGTTTAAGTCGCAGCTCTTGCCTGAAGGAGCTCACAGTTTGCTGGGGGCAGCAGAGACTGAACAGCAGCTTGGTGCTGGTGGCCTGTCTCTGAGTTCCTCGCCCTGCTAAAGGTGGGTGCTCCTAAGGGTAGATCCTAGCCCCCTTTTCCTGGTGTTCTGGGTGCCCTTCAGGACTTGTTAAACACTGCCTTGCTTTCAGCTGCCACCTTCAAGATAATAATGCTAAGCTCCAAGCTGTTCTACCATTTCTGCTTGGACACCCGGGAGACCCTCAGACTCAGCATGTCCCGACTCATTCCTCATCTCTGCTGTCCCACAAGCCTTGTGCTCCCGCCTTCCCCATCTGTGGGACTGGCATCTTTCTCTCCCAGCCGTGCAAGCCAAGAAATGTGTTGTCTAATCTTCTAGTGTATCAAGAGATGCCTAGAATCTTTCAATTCCAGAACATCTCTGCACTTGAGAATGTTCCCAATTTAACTCAAATTCTTTCCAAATAAATAATGAGGATGACAGACAAAACATCAGGGGCTGAGTGTGGATAGTTGGTGGGCGGGGGGTGGGGGTACATGGTTGAACACCCTAGCTTGGGGGTGAGTTAAGGAAGAAGCCTCAGGGGAAGTTCTAGAAGGACTGATCAGAACTGCAAGAGGGAAATTTCTCTAAACTCAAAAAAGGAGAGGATTTCAAGAAGAAAATGGACTTTAATGACAAAACCACAGAAAGGGTGAAAAAGACTGACGGGTCTTTGGAAATAAGAAATGGGCCCTTCCTGCAAACTGATATTATTATACTTCTCCATGAGGGGACAGGAGAGTAAAGGTGGTACAAAGAGTCCAGAATCAGACAAAGTTGTTCTTTTAAATACAGGTGAATAAATGTGTTGTAGTAGCGCTCAACACTTACACACTGTGTTTTCTTAGTTTCTGCTCTGGTCTTGGTTCCATGTCCTCACCTGCTGGTTAGCAGGGAATATTTTTAAAAAGATCAAGTTGAAATCTGTTTAAAACCTGGTCTAATCCAAGCGTTTAAATAGTCCCTTTGGGTGGGATGCTAACACTTGTATAAAAACATTGAGTCTCTCATAGTCTCCTCTTTCTCTGTGACGCCACCTGAATGGAGCGAACAAAAAGAGGGTAATCTGCTGAAGGGAGAGTAGCAGTGGCAGCTACACCCTCAGGGGAGAGCTAGAAGTTCCCAAGGGTCCCTCCGGGGGAAGTTGACCAGAGAGAAGTGAAAACCTCAGGCAGAGGGCCTGCGGTGGCTGGTGGTTTTCAGTGCAGGGTCCTATAGTCAGAAGCAGGCTGGAGAAGGGATGTACTTGGGGTGATTCATAGCAGAGAATGTGCTAGCAAATATGGAAGATGCACAGGGGTCTAACAAGAGTAATATGGGTGAAGGAGCTGATGTCTAAAGAATATTCTCAAGAAGAGCTAGATTTTTTGCAGGAGGGCTTTCAATCTAAAACAGAGAAGGAGAGGAAAGGGCGCTGGCACAAGGGGGTATAAAGAGCTGCCCCTGAAAGGCACAGGTTAGAAGAGACACCTGCAGAGTCCCAGGGAGGCAGCCATGGGAGCAGAGCTGCTGCTGCTGCTTTGCAAGGGGAGAAGGTGGGTGACGAGAAATACCTGCATAGTCACAGGCGGGCAGGGGAGCTGCTGCCAGGTTTCCAATCTGAAAGTCCAGGTTCGTCTCTTACTCACGCCCTGTTGGTTTTCAGGAAATAATGTACGTGTTTCCAAGGAGCACTGGACAGAGAATGTCACCGAGCACAGTGAGGTGACCCTGCGCTGCAGCCTGGAGAGTTCTGGCAGCTCAGCCTCCCTGTTCTCTGTGACGTGGTTCTGGGGCCCAGACCCTTCTGGAAGTAAAACGCTGGCGCACCTGCAGCATGACGGCCTGCTGGAGTACAGCGGGGAGGAGCTGCGGAGCCGCCTGCACTGCTACCGCGCCTCTGCCCGCGACTTCGTGCTGACGCTGCACCGGGTGGAGGCAGCGGATGCCGGCTGGTACTGGTGCCGTGTGACAGAGTGGCGGCTGCATGGAGACCCCAGCAAGTGGGTCAGCCAAGCGTCAGATGAGTCGCTGCGCATGGTGCTCACCGTGCTGCCTTCAGGTATGGCGGGCTCCAGCTTCATGGGCTCAGGTCAGGAGAACCTTGCATCCTCCCTCTGCTTTCCCTGCCAGCTCTGATTTGCCCCTTTTCAGGCTGAAGACAACTTGCAGGCTCCCTGAAGACAGTGGCTGCCAGTCTCCCTCCTAGTAACATCTGCCATAGCAACATAGAACATGACAGGGTCTTGTTTTAGCATAGTCGTTGAAATGTCAGGAGCATCTGACCTGTGCCTGCCTTCCACTCGCAAATAACAGAGTCAAACCTGTACCCCTTCAAAGAGCCAAGGGGTACCTTCAAGCAGCTACATGGCAGCTTTACATTTTGATTCAGATGAACCCAAATCAGCTACCTCTAAATGCTTCCTGAGGTCATAACACAATGAAACAAAAACCTTTCATGGTAAATACGAGCCGGGCTTCTTATCTCTGTGCTCTGAACAAGCTCCCAGGGCTGACCTTGGCAGTCATTTGGGGTACCGCTCCTCATTGCCCCCAAAAGCCACCAGCCAGGAAGCGCATGCATAGGATGTGCTGACGGGCCCCAGCCAGGAGGACCAAGGCCAGAAGCAGCCCTTCTCCATGTGGGGGGGCCCTATGCGGCGAGTGTGGGTGTCACTGGGGATGTGTAATGGGGCGAGGGCTGCTGGACTGTCCTTCCAGCCTAGGACAGTGCCAGCCCCATCCCAGGCGCTTATCAAGATTTTACACATGAAAGCAAGAATTTCTCCAGCCAGAGCAGTGCTTCCCTGGGGATCCCTGAGCTGGTTGATGCTGGGGTAGCTGCTTTCTGGTGGGATTTAAGGAGAAGGCTAGAGCGATCTAAGTGAAGCTGACAGTGGGCAGGAGCTGATGGAGAGGCAGAGGTGTGTTGGTGCCCACATCCGGGATGCTGGATAGAACGTTACCAGAAGCTGACATTCCCAAAACACCGCCAGCTTTGGTGACACCCAAGGACAGATGGGGCAGAAGATGTGGCTTATTCCTAGAAGTGGGGAGTGGTGCCCCCCGGCCCCAGGAAGGTGTCTGTGGACATCACAGGGATCTGGGCTGTTTCCTGGGGTGCCTCCTTCTCCCGCCTCCTCTCCCCTCCTCCCTCATCCATTCTTCAGCAGAACTTTCCTCCCACGTCTCCGCACAGGCTGTCTCTTCCTATCAGCTTTTCTTCCATTCCAGCAGCTGTGGGAGCAGCCCTGCGCCCCTGAGCACACTCTGTGCCCTGGGATTCGTGGTTACACTGGAATCCGTGGTTTGGTCCAAACAGCAGGGTTTGTTGTTTATTTGTTTTTTTCCTTCAGTAGGATAAATAGAAAATTACGGTAAAATTCTGTGACCTTAGAAACTCACCTTCTCTAGGACAATGGGAATCTTCACAGGTAAATATGTTACTAGTCTTTGTGGAATGCTTGTAAAACAGGTGTCTGCATTTAAAAAAGAAATCTGGAAAGAAAATGTTAAAAAAAATGAGTTGTCTTTGTGTCTTTGACAATCGAAGAAGCCTGGATGCCTGGGCGTGGCAAACTGAGGGCTTTCATTCTTGGTACAGGGAGTTCCCACGTCAATTCTCATAATCCAGCATGCGGCTCCGTCTACCTGACTGCCCCTTCTGCTAGCTGGGGAGGTGGTGCGGGCTGAGGAGAATGCTCAGGGTTTGGGAGCTACAGTCCTAGGCCTAAATCACCAGCTCTGCCAGTCCCCTGCCAGCTGAAGTCCCGCCCGGAGACTTTACCCTGTGACTTCGGCCTCCTCACAAAACGACAATCAGTACAAAGGCACGTGAAGCAGTGAGCATGGTCCCTGGTGTGTTGGGAGTGCTCAGGAAATGCTAAGTCCTTTCTCCCTGTGCCTGCAAACATGCCACAGACACATACATGCCACACACATGCCACACACATACTACACATCACACACACCACACTACACACACAGCACACCACACACATACACCACACAGCACACCATACACATACACTACACACCACACATACACCACACATATACACCACACACACAACACACCCCACACCACACTCATATACCACACACACCACACACATATACCATACACATATACCACACACATACCATACACACACCACATACCACACACGTGCATATCCACCCATGTAACAAATATTTTAATTTGTGCAGTAAACACCTATGTGAGGTTCCGAGGACACGAAAGTGTATGTGACAGAGTCTATTCACCCAGAGCTGAGTTGGGTGGAAGGGCAGAGCTACAAGATAGGGCTTGTCAAGAGTAGCTCCAGGGTGCCACAAGGGGAGCAGAGGCAGACTGGGGAGAAGGTCTGCAAGGTTCCCCAGCATGTGGGGTCTATGAGAAGGAAGAAACATATCTTAGGAGGGGCTAAGTCCTTTCCCTCTGTGCCTGCAAACATGCCACAGACACACACATGCACACAACACACACACACATACACACACACACATACCACACACACACCACACCGCACACACAGCACACCACACACACAGCACACCACACACCACACACATACCACACACATACACCACACACACAACACACACCCCACAGGTCTGAAGCTGAGGAAGGCAAACTTTATCATGAAAGTAACTAGCTCCACAGGAAGAGACAGCATCAGATTTACATTTTAAAAGTGGGGCCTCGGAGCAAAGCTAGATGGATTGGATGGGACACGGAGCAGGGAGGGTAATTTGAAATTGATTGTGGGAGCCCAGGTAAGACACGATGAAGGCCTGAATCGGGCAGTGCCCGTGAGGCCTCACAGAGAGCAGTCAGTATTGGGTGCTGTGATGTGAAGGACTCAGAGAATAATTAGACATATGTGGAGGGTGAAAGAGCAGACGGGAAGATTCAAGAACAATATCAGGTTTCTGGTACAGGCAAGCAGTGAGGACATCACCCACTGAGGCAATACAGGAGGAGGGCCTGAAGGGGAAGATCAGTTCAATTTTACAAAAGTCAGGTTGGAACTGACTTGGGAGTACGTGTGAGTTGTCCAGGGAGACTTATTGACTAGACACTGGAAGTTCCAAGTGAGACAGTTGCCGGAGTCGTCAATTAGAAGTCATCAACTTTTAGCCACTAGTGAGGCCCAAAGTCAGACCCCTGAGACATGCCCTGCTTCCTGATCGGGGTGCAGAAGAGGAGCATATGAAGGGGAATGGAAGGCATGGAAGAAAGAGGGAGGAGAGCCAGGGTTGGGGTATCAGAAGAATCATGGAGGGGGCGGGAGTTAGGAGCCCAGGAGGGAGGAAGACCCAGTGAACTGAACTCTTGCAAAAGGTCAATTAAGGTAAGAACAGGACCGTGTGTCCCTTGGATTTAACAAGACAGAGCAATTACAGAAAAGTAATGAGAGAAAGCAGACTGCAGTGAGAAAATGGACTCATCAAATAACGACTATCTTCTCACCAGTTTGATGGAAAGAGAAAGAAAGCACAATCACACGTGGCTCGAGGTGTCACTGAAGTTTTGCTTTCTTCTGTTTTGTCTGAAGTTGGTAGGGACTTGAGCACATTTAAATTCTACAGGGGAAAGAGTGGAGAGGAAGCAGATGATGAATAGAAGAAAGCAGACATGACTGACAGTACAACCTCTTACACGAGCATCCACCACCTCCAGGCTGGAACGCACCTGCGTGCATCTTTCCCTGATCAGCACTCACTGATCCTTCACCTCCCAACTTAACTGACACTTCCTCAGCGGCTCACCTTAGTCCCTTAATCGTCACACCTACTCTATCCATCCTCCCTGCCTGCCTGTCGGTGAGTAGGCAAATTCTGAGTGTCTCCTTCCCGGCACTGACACCCTGCCTGGCACAGAGCGTCACAGAGGATGCTCAAATACTTGCTGGATCACAGCTAATTGCGCTCCTGGTGAGACCAGCTCTCTGTAGCCAGAAAGTCCAAATCCAGGCCTCGCTTCTCAAATGGTTATCCAGCCTCTCCATTGACTGTTTTAGGTTGGGTGAGTGGAGCACCTGCCTTTCGCAGAGACAGAAGAGTTAAGAGGCATTTCCCTAGGTGGGAGGTAGGGGGTGGACCTTGCATTTTCTTCTCCATCCCACGTCTTTGCTTGTGAGCAACTCGAGGCACGATGCACCTTCTCTGTGATTAGTTAATAAGCCAGGCTCTTTGGCTTTCTGGCGATAGTGGCATTTGTAGTAGTGTCGTATTTATTAGTATATGCTAGGTTTTTTTTGGGGGGGGTTAAAGATCCATTTAGAAGGTGGATCTACAAAAGATATTTGTACCCCCAGCACAGAGAAGATTCTGGAGAGACTCTCTACACTTCCTATGAGTGCCTCCAACAAGCACATTCTACTCACAAATGCTTAATGAAAGCAGGAGCCAAGAAGGCAATCGGGTTGAGGCAGATTGCTGTCAGGGAGCCCCTATTCTGGGCTCACCTGCCTGTGTTCCTGTACCCTCTTTTCTTGGCATGAGCCTCTCCCACGTGGCTGCACGTGGCACGATCGGTCACTGACATATGGGTTGAGGTCAGGGAGGAGTTGCCCGTACCTCTCTTCTTCTGAAGTCAACTTTTCTGAGGTTCTGTCCAAAAGGCGAGCCCTGGTGACGTGTTTGGCTGTGGGTAGAATTGGATCCTAAATGCCATGTGATGAAGCGGCTCCATACATCTTCGGCTCTGTCGTGGCAGGCCCTGTCCTTTCAGCACTGGGCTCCTACTCAGATGGATTCGAAACGGCAAAGCTTAATAGTTTAGAATGTCACTAATTCTGATTCAGAGCTGGGCGAGAGGCAGATGGCAGGAACTGGGCATGGTGGGATCCAGAACAAGCGCAGTCCTCCCTGGAGAGCTGGGGTGGGAGCACCGTTGCGGACAGTCACTAGTTGTTGGCAAGTCAGCTCCGCCAAGAGCACGCTGTGCCGTCCTGGGCGGCAGCAAGCTCGGAACCGGTAGCCTCCGCCCATCAAGATCGTCAACAACCCCCCCCAACCCCGGGCTATCCCTTCATGCTGAGACTTGGTCTCTGTGGCAGAAAAGTCAAATGCCATGTTTCTTTCCATCTTCTATGTTCTGTGCTAGCCCCATCTCCCGCATCACGTAACCCCATTCCAGCAAGGGTGATACACGGTGCCAGTGTCTCTAATTCTCTCTTTCTCATCTCTGGGAAAGGAAACCAGAGTTTCCTCAGCAGCCACTTGACTCTTGGTTGAATGTCACCCAGTTCTGGGGACAGAGGGGTCAGAGAGAAAGAGAGCGAGAGCAAGAGGGAGAGAGAGTTGTCTTTCTCAGGAACATTCTAGCTAAAATGATTTCTTTGCTAAGCCAACAGTCTCGTAGGCGCCATGCTCTACTGTGCACTGGCTCACCACAACCTGAGAAATGGCCATCCCCAGATGACTGAGGACACTAATGATTAGAGAAGATAACTCCCTTGCCCCGTGGCAGTAATGGCAAGGTGAAGAGGCAGGATTCGAACTCGGCTCTCTGAGCTGTAGGCGCTCAGCCACTCCTCTCAGCAGCGGCCAGGCAAGGGGCCAGGGCTCTGTTCTCCCGCAGCACTGGGGTCCTGTTCCTCCTCCCCGGCCACATGCCTGCAATGCTCTCTGCGTGGGGCCTGGGCGTTTACTGTGGTCATGCTACAGCAGAGTCTGGAGAGAGGGGTGGGTGGGATGTGGACAGCAGTGAAGAGAACTGAAATCGAGTTTTGTCATGGCCCACCCTTTCCAAAACACACACCAAATTTCAGCTGGTGACTGTAAATGAGGCCAGAGAAAATCCAGGTGACCAGCAGCTCCTGGTCAGCCCCGTTCAGAGCTGCCGAGCTGATGTTCAGAGACGCGCTTTACTCCATGTCATGGACAGCAGCACCCCTGCGACTCTCCATGCTCTGTGTGCAGGATTTGCACCCGCATTTCCTCCAGCCTCCTTTGCTGAGCCCGCAGACAAGGTGCTGCACAAAATAAAAAGCTTCATAAGACACAGGCCTCGTCCTCCAGGAACTCACGATGGAGGAGGTGAAAAATGTGGAGATTCCTCCTTGGCTCTATCAAAGAGACGTACTTCAAGGTGCAGAAATCATCCACGATGTGGAAAATGGAGTTCTAGCAGTACACGGTTAGCAGATGTGACCTCTCAACCTGTTTCATCTCTAAGAGTCTATAATCCCATGAATCCTCTAGCTTAACCTTTGAAGAAGAAATTGCTTCTATCGCTAAATTTTCCAATAACAGTACAGCTACTATTAGCATCCGCTTTTTCAGAATAACCCTCCCATATCCTGACATAGAGAAATGCCACTGGAAGGCTCCCTCTGGGCGTCTCTTTCGGCAGGTGTCTGTCACAGCTTGCGTCTGTAACCTGCTCCTCTGACCCGGGGCGTGGAGAATCCCTCCTGGCTCCTGTGCTGTTTGCAGTCTGCGGTCTCAGCTTCCCGGGCTGTGGGGCCAGGCCCACGTCGGGCTGCTTGTGCGTGCTTCCCACCCCATGTGCTTCCCCATGGACTGCGGCTGCAGGGGCGGACGTACCGTCAGCCTGTCTTGATGGAGACTCTCCTGCCTTGGTGGAGATGCCTTGATGAGAATCTTCTGCTTGATGGAGAATCTCCTGCCTTGGTGAAGAATCTCCTGCCATGGTGGAGAATCTCCTGCCATGGTGGAGAATCTCCTGTCTGGTGGAGAATCTCCTGCCTTGGTGGAGAATCTCCTGCTTTGATAAGAGTCTCTTGCCTTGATGAGCGTCTCCTGCCCATGCAGTTGTGGTTGATCCAGTTTCACTCAGATCAGCAAGAGTCTCCCAGCCCCCGTGCTAGGCACTGTGGGAAAGGGAAACCTCAGGACACCTGCAGACAGATTCCAGTAACTGTGATGAAAAAAAGCAAATGCTTAAAAGGAAAAGGGAAGTGTCCAGAGCCGCATGAGGAGAAATTAGAAGCGCAAGGCAGGAGGGCCTTGGGGAGTCAGCAACTCCCTCTGGGCCAGGCCACAAGGACCCGGAGCCTCAGGGGAGCAGAGCCTGCAGCTGGAGGACAGCAGCGCAGCCGAGGAGCGGAGGACGGGAAGGTGCTCCTGGCTGCAGGTGCTCCTGTGATGAGGCCTGGGGGGCGCGTGAGCACAGCGCTCAAGGCGTCTTCTGTGGGGCCCCGCGTCTGTGTGCGCCCGCACACCCGTGTTTAAGAAGCAGCGGTGGGAATTACTCTGTTAAAAATTCAGGCCCAGCAACAGAGTTGAGAACGAGGGTTGAATTATAGATATCTTTTCTGAGGAAAGAAGATTAAAGGAGAGGCTTTCTTTTCGTGTTTTGTTTTTCTTTCTGGCTGTTAGTTTTAAGTAGGTCACTGGATCTGGTTGGAAACGGCCGGGGGGAGGGGAGGTGGGCCGGGAGGGGGTGTGGAGTGGCAGGAGCACAGTTCTGGAGTTTTCCTTTGCTCCTGACATAGGCTACCAGGAGCCAACGACTATTTGGCCCTGTTATTTTCACATATATTTGCCTGGAACAATCACATCGCAGGAGAGTGTCATGGAGCAATGCAAATAGCCTGGGGCCGATGGCTCTATTTTTCTTTTTCGTTGCAGAATCCACGATTCCTTCCAGGATCTGCTCCTCGGAACCTTTGCTCTACTTCCTGCTCATCTTCCCCTTCATTATATTCATCCTTCTGCTCATTTCCCTCCTCTCCTTGTACCGGATGGCCAGAAAGCTGTCAACACTGAACATCAATGCCCGGAAGGAGAAGGCTCTGTGGGTGGACATGAAGAGGACGGCAGACAAGGCCCCGAGCATGGGGGAAGAGGACTCAGACGACTGAGTCCCTGGGGGTGCCTGCAGCCCGAGGGCAAGCGTCTGGACTTTGGACTTGGACTGACCTAGGTCGCTCCTTCTCTGTGCCTGAGGTCAAGCTCCCTGGGAACCAGAGGGGACATTTACGGAACAGCCAGAGGGAGCATATACTGAGCCCCTACATGATGCCAATTCTGTTAAGAGTTTGTGTGTGAACCTCCTCTGTGCCTTGCACGCCCCAGGAGCTAGGAGGCATCATTACCCCGCTTGCCACACCCCTCCAGAGGCTGAGGTTCTCGATTGCAAGGAGAGAAGCCCCTCCCTCACACAGCCTCTTGGGGAGTAACTGAGATTCTAAGGCAAGTCCAGCAAGAGGTGTCCCCCGCCTGCCTCCTCTGCTGCCTTGCTGGGGCGCGGGCACTCTGGTGCGAGGTGGCCTTTGTCCGCAGATGAGAGGCTCCTGGTGGGCCTGATGTCAGCCAGGCAGAGGGACTTGGGCATATGACCTTCACCGATGTCACCTCTGAGTGGAACTGCCTTCCCGAAAGCCTGTCTTCTTCCTGTGCCCCATCAGAAAGGCCACTCCAGAGCAAGCGCTGCAGAGTAGGTGCTTGGTCAACACTGGTTGAAAAACGCAAAAACATTTTATAGCCCGCCGCTCTCTCTTTCTCTCTCTCTTCCTCTCTCTTCTCTTTAAGTCATTGCTAAAGAAAACCTTTTTCTTTTAATTTCAGGCTACAGTGTTCTTGCCAGCACCCCCGGGCCATGTGTCTGCCTTTCTTTCCACCCCAGAGCTCCATGTGGCTCCTGCTTCTCAGCCGGTGCCTTATTCCCCTGAACCTGACAAACACTGGGTGTCGGAGAGGGTGCTGCGTGATTATCTGAGAAGCAGGGGCTAGGAGTTCAGGGGGAGTAGAGGCCACATCTGGTTCCACAGGACCCCCTATTCTCAGCCAGGACTAAAGCCAAGGGGCTGGGACTGGGGGTGTCAGCACTTCAAGCGTCCATCACTTGTTCCTCAGGAGATAACAGCTGCCCCCACTGGGCATGAGGTCCCTCATGTTTGTTTCAAAAGCTGTTCAGAGCCTGCCATAGCCAGAAATGGAAATCAATCAGCGCCACCTAACAGACTCACGGAAACGCATCTATTTATCGTCTACGAGTGGCCGACAGTGTTGCTTTAACAGTGAGTAATTTGCATTTCCAAGGAGAGCAATTTATTTTTAATTATTTTATCAGACGCACAGTCCTCTCCAAACATAATTAGCTCCCCTGCAAGAGGATCATTGGTGGCTCGGATCTCCCACTGTAGACCTGTTGCCTCCTTAAATCCTCTCCCTTTATGGCCTAACTTGAAGTACTCCAAGTGTTGCCTTTAACATGTCAACCCATTTGCTTCTCGCTCAGCTAAAGGAGCATATTTTTTAGTAAACGAAAGTCAAGACTGCTTAGAAAATATGATCCCCTCCATCATTATAGAAGCCTGTGTTTGGATGATTCTGGAAGGAATGCCTGTTTTCTTTTCAGCCATTTCCAAATAAATAAATAAGACATGGTTTTTTATTTAATATTAATATTCAGTGTGGGAGGTTTCCTTGAAGTGTAATTTAGTAGATTCTGGGGCTGCCCCTGCCTGGGGTGCTCCCAACCCCAACCCCACACCAACTTTGAGCTCGTGGCTCAAGTACCCGCACAGAAATCTCACGCAGCAGGCCGTCGAGTGCCCAGCCACTTCCATCAGAGCCAAGCACAGAACTATTCCTCCCCGTGGAGATGGGGGTCCAGTGTGGGCCAGGCCCAACCGGGCACAGTCCCGCACTAGGGACAGTTTGTCCTGGATCTTCAGCTTCCATCAGCAGGACCTAGAACCCAGTGGACTTTCTAGGCATCCTCACCAGACTCTGGCCCACAGTGAGTTCCGGACCTCTGGACACTCAAGCCATCTTGTGTTCCTTTTGGAAGTTCTAGAGTAAAATGTATTTTCATCCAATTCAGCAAACTTTTTATATGAGCCCCTTTCTCCAATTACGTCCTTGTTCATTTTGTTTTTTAAAAGTTTGCTTTCACTCATTGCTTTCAACTTGATGTCATGAGCTGCCTTTGCTTTCAACTTCTTGTTTGTAAATCCTCCTTGGTAACAGCACAAACCTCTATCTCAAGAGCTGGCCAACTGCTGTCCATCGGCCAAATGCAGTCAGCCACCTGTCTTTTAAAGTACAATTTGTTGGAATGGAGCCACTTGCATCTGTCTACATATTATCTGTGGCTGATGTCACAATGAAATGGCAATGTTGAGTCATAGCCACAAGGGCAACTTGACAGGCAAAGTCTAGAATGTTTGCTACCTAACCCTTTATAGAAAAAAGCTGCCATTTCCTGCTCTCTTTTAGTGGTTAATGTTCTATCTGCCACATCATGTATGGTGTTCCTGGGAAATTTCATTTGACCCTTTAAAACTGTATTTATATATCTGATTAATAAATACTCTTAGGATCACAGGAGTGGTATCTAGTCCAAGCAATTCTGGAGTTTGGATCCTCTCAGTCACACTCCCACTAGAGGTGAGAAACGCCCTGAGTCCCTGCTTTGCAGGATGAGATGACACAGATGTATAAACACAAGTAAAGCTCTTTATTTTTCGTCTATTGAGACACACGCAGCAACAACTGATTTATGGCCAGTGGTGAATGCGCTGGTAGAAATTCATGTGCCATAAAAATTTCTTAAATTGCATAGGAGTTGTTCATCATCTCAGAGTTTCATGGCATCCTCATGCAGAAGGGATTGTTATTCCTGTCCTGCACGCAAGAAATTAAAGCATAGAGAGACTGGGATTTATCCAGGATCATCCAGTCCTATGCAGAAGAGTAAGAGCTCAAACTTGGTTTGCTGACAGCAAGTCTGGAGTCTTTCCACAATAAACACTGTGCTCAAATCCATTGCTATGGGGGAAATCTGGCAATAATAATATCCACCTCACATGGTTGTTACGGCGACCAAATCAGATACTTATATGGTCTTGCCATCTATAAAGTGTTCATCACGGATTTCTGGGGATTAACCAGGATTCTGGGAATTCATATGAGCTCACAAATGGTTCTATTCCCAAGTGGTTTCTAGCTGCTTCACTCAGTTCTAGGGGGTCCCACTGCAGCTGGGATGCTGGGGAGCATGAGATGCCAAGCTGGGTGGTGTTCAGTGGTAAATAAGCAAGAAAAAGTTCCTGATTCTCATTCTGCTCTTGCTTTACACTCTGGATTGCAAACGAATCAAAGATTGCTTGTACCCCATGTCTTTTTTTTTGTTTCACTTCTTCCGCTGTCTTATAGGTTCATTTGTGAAAACAGTCCTATGTATATATATATATATATATATATATATATATATATATATGATTATATATATTGATGATATGTAATGGTTATATGTGTTATATACATATAATCTCCTTTCTCCTCAGGGTCTAGACCCCAGTCAGTCTGGGATGAGCCTGGGAGACAGACTTCATGCTCCGCTTCCTGTTTCCCACCCTCGACTCCCAGGAACCACTGAGTTAGCCTCTTCATCACAGACCTCTTTTCCTTCCTGCAGGTGGGTCATGCAAATTGTGCTTCTGGGAGAGTCCTCCCTCATCAGGAAGGTCCGGAGGAGTTTGCATTCCCTGTAGGCTTATCTGGGATGTCAGCTATCCTGGTTATAATGTCCACCCCTCATGTAGTAAAGTACTTTGGAAATTGAGACAACCTCACAAAGGACATATTTGAACTGGGCTTGAAGAGTCAGGAAATATTTGACAGGCTCATTTGGGGTGAGTAGTAGTCTGGGGGCAGAGGTAATCCCATGAATAGTATAAAAGAGCTTGATTTGACTTAAATATCAGATTTATGGAGGGGAGCAATGGGAGATAATAGGGAAAGGTAGTTAAAGTGAAATTCTGGAATGAGGAGGGACTGGGGAATAGATCTGGAGCATGCATAAGAATTTGGACCTTATTAGGCAGACAATGGTGAGCTGTTGAATGAAGGCGCAGCTGCTGTGTTTTAGGAGAATTAAAAAGTAGCAGCATAGAGAATGGATGGGGTTTGGGTGAGCACTTGCTTATTTACCAAGGCAAAGCAGGGCAGCCAACCTCAAGAAACCCTTCTCTACTTGTCTGATTTGGGTAAGAGATGATACCAATTTTGGGACAGTTTTTAGGAATAATAAAATTATCAGAAAGTTTCAAGTAACCTATCAAATGCATAGAGGTAGCTAGTATATACTTCTTAAATACAAATTCAGTAAGTGTAGTATAAGAGCTATTCATATCAGTTTACTATCTCAACTGGCTTTCTGTTTACTTTCTCTTTTTTGTTACTTGCTTCTCTGTTTAATTTGCTTATTGGAAATTTGAAGTTTCTACCATGTTGTCTCTGAATCCAAGATTCCTGCTAAAGCAGCTCTGACTGCCAAGAAGAGCTGTTTTGACTGGAAGCATAATTATCACATTAAGCCATTTGCTGAGATAGAAGACCACATTGGATAAGAACAGTTATTAATAAGTTCATGTGTTGTAAATAATCAGTTCATGAAAACCCAAACTTATTATGTCTTCAGGGTTACAATAGAGAGGGTGCTTCAGTTTTAAAGTGTCTGTTCAATAATAGAATCATTGGGTGGACTCATCTTACCCTTGTCCATTTCTGGTGCCCACATCAAATTACTCACTCATTCTAGTTGTGTTCCTGGCTTTGTACCTTCCATTTTGGAAAAGTTTTTCTTTTTAGGATTCCACCCATCCCCCATTGAATTGTTTTTCATGCTTGCCTATTGCTGAGGGTGTCCACTTAAGCTGCTTACTAGGGGCAACAATGCTGTTTGATCTTTTTCTTCTCTTTATTTTTATTTATGTATACTTATAAGAACTGAGGTGTGGGGGGATTGATAGTGGGGAGCAGAACAGGCAGATCATACTGAAATACACTGCTGAGGAGAGCAGCGGATGAGACAGGAGAGGTCTGCTGCTCCATATGGGTCAACTCCCTGGCAGGGGATTGAACTCATGCCACGGTGGCTGGTGATAGTTTGATAGCACCAAGATTTAATCTCTGTGCCACCAGGGAGGTCCCCAATGCTGTTTGATCCTCAATTAGCATTTTCTGGATTGTGCTCAGGTGGAGAGTGATGATGCAAGTCCAAATCTCAGAGAAACCTCTCCCCTTCTTGGTTCCTGTAATATTTATAATATATAAACCTAAATATATATAAAAACATAGTAAAATAACTATATATAATACATACTATAATAATAATTGATAGTCCCAGGACAGTAGAACAGAGACACACCAGGATAATAACAATAAATATTCTTTGATAACATGCATATGTATATGCTGTATATATATGCTGTATATCCCTAACAAGAACATGTATGTAATAGTTCTTTGGATACATTAATACCACAGACCAGGAGTCATAAGTCTAGATGTCTTAGGGTCCAGGCAGGTAAATTTAAAAAAAAAAATAAACTATTCTGGGAAAGCCCTTAGGGAGTGATGAAAAATTGGAGCAATTGGAACTTGTGTTATCTATTTAAAGGCACTCAAATTCAGTATATAAGCTATTGTTCAAAGTAATTTAAACATGTTGGGTGTAGAGTTCTATTCTTTGTAATCTTGTATTACATTCTAAAACCACCAACCAATGTTAAAACTTTTCCATCAAAATAGCATCTCCAGGTTTTGCATCTAACTCAAGGTAAGGAATGACTTTGCCTAAGTTTTCTTTCAGAATCTCCGGATTTTGCCATTGAAAATTTTAATTTTTGTTTAACATGTGTGGCAAAGGTTCCAATTCATTTTTGTCTCTATGCAATTGTCCAATTGCTTCAGCACCATTTATTAAAAAGACCATCCTTCCCCACTTCAGCAGCACCTCTAACATAAATTAGATGAATGTGAGTTTTCATGCACCGTATGAGCACTCTGCACATGTTCTCAAAAGATTTCTATAATAATATTGATTCACAATCAGTCATGACTTAACCACAATTTATTATTGACCATGATTTTTTACAGGAGTGCAGGGTTGGCTTAACATTTGTAATTCAATCTATGTAATTCACTAAGAGAAGAAAGAAGAAAAATACTTGATCAACACAATAAATACAGAAAAGCATTTTTTAAATATTTAACACTTACTCATGATAATATTTCTCAGTTAACTAGCAATAGAGGGAAACTTTCCAAATTTGATAAAGAATATAGTACGCATTGGTGAAATAGTGAATATTTCTCCCCTGAAGTTAGGACTAAGATGAAAATGACAATCATCTCTACATCTACTGACCATTATAGAAAAGATTCCAGCATATGCAATAAGACACAAAAAAGAAATGAAGGTAAAAAGATTGAAACAGAAGTTAAATGGCCTTTACTTGAAGATGATATGACTATATTTGTAGAAAATTCTAAAGTATTTATAAACAAGATTTCTAGAACAAGATCAATACAAAAATGAACTCTTTATATATTCAAATAACAAAAAAAACTAATTTGAAAATTACTGTTTATAGCATGAAAAATCAAATGCCTTGGAATAATTTTTTTAAGATTTATTTATTTATTTATACAAGAACCGGGGTACAGGCCAGATGCGCGGGAGGGTGAGAGGATTCACCAGAGACAAAGCGGGGAACAGAACAGGCAGACTGACAAAATTCACTGCTGAGGGGAGCAGTGGGCAAGACAGGAGAGGTCTGCCGCGCCATGCAGGACCCTCACTGGCTGGCCAGGATCAAACTGGCGCTGCAGAGGCTGTGGACAGCTTCACAGCGCTGTGCTCAACCACCTGCACCACCAGGGGAAGCCCTGCCATGGAATAAATTTAACAAAAAATGTGCAAGAATTCTACACTGAAAATTATGAGACATTGCTGAGATAAATTAACAATGAACTATCTAAATGGAAAGAGATTTCATTTTTATGGATTAAAAATCTCAGTACTATTAAAATAACAAGTTTTTCTAAATTGATCTATAGAGCTGATATGGTGGTGATCAAAAGAATAGAGAGAGAGTGGCAATTTAGCTCCCCAGGAGAATTTGGCATTTCATGGAGACATTCTTTGATTTGTAACCTGAAGTAAGGAGTTGCTGCTGGCATCAGTGGGGAGAGGCTAGGATGCTGATACACATCCTACCATGTGCGTGATATCCCCCGCCCTCATAATACAGAATTATCTGGCCCAAAACCTCAATAGCCTTGAGGTTGAAAAACTCTGATTTAATGAAATCCTAATCCAAATCCCAGATAATACTAGAAATTAACAAACTCATTCTAATAAATGAAAGTACAGGGCCTCCCCGGTGGCACAAGGGGTTAAGTCTAAGCACTGTGAAGCTATCAGCAGCCACTGCAGCATGAGTTCGATCCCCGGCCAGGGAGCTGACCCACATGGCATAG